CGTGAACGTATATATATATATATATATATATATATTGGCTGAGAAAACTTGTCGAAACAAAGCGGAGCGAAATAAAACCGTTGTGAAACGCCATTTCCATCAATTACCTCCCACTTTTCTTTTCATTTGATCTTTCGAAAGTGCACATTACTCCTACGTGACGTTTCGCGGCTGGCTCACCAGCATGCGGCGAGGTGGGAGAGACGGAGAAGCAGAGTCGATCGGACGCACACTGCGCTCTGGGGTGTTGGTGCCGATGACGGAAGGGAAGAGCATAGACGAGGTGAGCATATCGCGGCGCAGCTCTGGCGCGGAAGTGGCGTTGGTGCTCAGTAGATGCATGCGGGTGAGGCACCGCAGCTGCTCGGGCTGCAGTTCGCGATGACGCCACACGAGCTTCGCCAAGATGGTGTCGGCTTTGTGCAGCAGTTCCGTCAACTCACTGGAGAGCGCGTCGAGATTGTTGTCGTCGTCAGTGGGCGCCTCGCACGGGTGCCCGACGCAGCTGCTCTCCGTGGAGGATCTCGAGGAAGAGACGAGCTTGATGAGGCTTCGTGAAGTCGGCGACGGCACCCACGCGCGCGTTTTCGAGCTCCACGGCGTGGACAGGGAGGCCGAGGAGACGGACTGCAGCGTGGGTGGCGCGGAGGTAGTGGCCGAGAAAAGTATCCGGGGCAGCGTGTACGTCGTGCTGGGCATCGTCGACTGAGACGCCATCCCGGTCGCCTCGTTGTCCGACTCATCTTTGATGTTGTCGTGGTCGATACCGGCGGCGGACACCGCAAGACGCTGACGGAGGTGCGCGGTGAAAGAGGTATTGGGCATCGATTCTAGCGTAACGTCAGTCGGTAGCGGCTCGTCGTCTACGTAGTCCGTGCAAGACGTTGAAGCGCTCTCCAGCCAACTGTCTGACGACGCGCAGGAACCAGTGCGTTCGCGTGCAGCCGGTGCACGTACGTTGCCCAGAGTCGAGTCGCTCAAAGGCAGTGACCTCTTAGAGCTCTTTCCCTCCCACGTCTCCGTTCTCGAAGTGCTGGTGCGTGCGATGGCGGCCTGGCTTGCCGCACTGGTCATCGTGCTGCCGGTTATGCTGTCCGGCGTCAGTTGCTTGAAGATGGTACGTGCTGTGTTGGGCTTTGCTGACTTGAAGAAGGAAGAAGCCTCAGGCATCGTTTCGGCATAGCTTGTGAGAGCCGCGACCGTCTTTGTGGCGTGCATCACAGTTAATACGGACAACCAACAACAACAAAAAGTTGAATACAGAAGTAGCACTCGGAAACCAAGTGAGTTTTTCTTTCTTTTTTTTAGCGTTTTGCGGAGCGGAACGGCCCCCGTTTTTCAGCAGAAAAACAAAAGTAACTCAACAAGAAAGTGATTATGACGAAACCAAAAGAAAAGAGCAACGGAGAAGATACGTTTTACACAAGAGCCGTAGTAGCCGCTCTTGCGGAAACCAACATACCAAAAAAACAACACTTGTAAGAGAGAGAGAAAAAAAGAAAGAAAATCAGTTAAAGAGAAGGAGAAAATATGTGTCAAGGAGAGTGAAGGAAGATAGAGCCATGGGCTTACTTCAACGGATTTGAATAGTGATAAACAGTTGATATCATGGCACGTAAAACAGAAAAGAAAACAAAAACAACAGAAAACGTCGTCAATTTTCCAATGCTCAAAAGTAACAAAAACAGTATTATATGAGAAGGAAGAAGTCTTGCTGTATGTAATAAAAAAAGGGTGGCTTGGTGTGATAGAAGGCTAAGAGAAGCGTTAGTCGCGCTGTGCGTGGAGTTCAACTACCTTCGTTCGATGATCAAATATGAAATGATCTTTCTGTTGTATCTTTTCTTTGGAGACGTTGCTTGATTTTGAATGCGATTTGTAATTCACACCAGGCCTTCTTTTATAGATGTAGGCAGACCGTATACAGTGGAATACTGAATACCGGTGCACCGTTGGCCAGAACGGTAAAGCCCCTTTAGACAAGCCAACGCAATAGGAAAGAGAGAGGAGAGAAAAAAGAAATGGGAAGAAAGTGAGAAAGAGAAGATGAGCGGCGCCACAATAGCGGCACATTTACGTACGCCTCCAAAGCAATAAATACATAAAAAAGAACGAATTGAAGGTTCAGATGGCCCTTCCCCCAAAAGTATGACCGCTTTCTTTCCTCGAGTTGAAGAGGATTCCCGAAAGTGAAAACATGTGGTACACACCCTTTTTTTTTTTCGAAGTGTGAAGACGCCAGCAAACGCGAGAGAGAGCGCACAACGCAAAGAAAAGCCTTCCCAACTTCCGTAACAGCATAGAAAAGGAGGGAAACCCACCGAGACGGCGCTGATAAACAAGCGACAGCACCCATCCCCCCTCCCTCCTCCCCTTACCTCCTGCGTCGGACGGAGTGAACCTACTGTCTTCTTCGAGAGTCTTTTCTTTTCCTTTTTCTTTTTGAGATGATTAGGGCGAAAAGTTGTACACTTCTTTCAGGTCTACCGGATTTGGCTTCCCGTGGTAAAGGGTCTTGTTCTGCAGGACCGCCGCCTCTGGGAACGCAAGCAGCTCACGAATGAAGTGATCCAGCGTCGGGGCCACGTAGTGCGGCGTCTTGGAGACGCACGTCTCGATCCACTCCAGCTCCTCGTCGCCTACGCCGAGCGTGCGACGCGCCGCGGGAGCGCGGCCGATCCCGGAGAGCACGTGCACGCTCGTCCACAACCCACCCGCCGCGTTGGCGCCGACGATGTCAGACTCGATGTTGTCGCCCACCATAAAGATGGATCGCATCCTGTGCGGATTCCAACCCATCGCCACCGCCACCGACCGCAGCCGCTGCTCCGCGTATGCGTAGGCAATGGCGCGCGGCTTACCGTACAGCTGTGTCTGCAAGCCCTGCCCCGTCACGCTCTCAAAGACGGAGGACATCATCTCACGAAAGGCGCCCTGACCCAGTCGTGGCAGCGCCGCCTCCGTCGCCCAGAGGAGGTCGTCGGCGGCCACGAAGTAGGGCGTCGTCTGCGCCCCCGCCACGTACGGGCCCACCTGCCCCTTCGGAGCCAGCAAAATGTCTACGATGGTTTGGATGTCGTTCAGTCCGTCCTCGGGGTCGTTCATTTGAAGCACCGCGCCGACTTCGGGAAATGGCACGCTGCCCGCCGGTGCCCGCTGCAGCTCGCCCCACCGCTTAAACGGCACCGTCTCCGGGTGCTCGCACTGGAACTGCTGGATGGACATGGCCTGACGAAACCCGTAGTCTCTGGCGATCGCCGCACAGTGCGGGGCGCCGACCACCACCACGCGTTGCTGGCCAAACTCTGGCACGAGCAGCCGCATTGGGCTGTGCGCCATGAGCACCTGACTCGGCTGAATCGGGCACCCCAAAAGCGTTGCGAGCTCCTCCGCTTTCTCCGCCTCACTCTTGCCGCCGCCGTTGGTGAGAAAGACGAAGGGAATGCGTAGCATCACAAGGTGCTGGACAGCCGTGTCGGCACCGCGAACGAGTTGATGACCGCGATGGACAACGCCGTCGATGTCCATCACGATCCCTGCGGACCCGTGCAGAGGCCACGTGGGCTGCCTCTCAGATGACGAGGCAGAGGCAGGGACAGAGGCAGAAGAAGGCTCCACATAAGAGTCGTAGCGATAAGGAACTTTACTCTCCATGTCTTCCGCCAGCTGCTGCTGTATCGAGGAGGAGTAGGTGTCCGGCGTTAACGCTTCCGAGGCATCAGCAGCAGCGGCAGCGGTGAGCTTCGGTGGGGCAGCTCGCAGAGCCGCTTCATACGCACCCCACGCTGCCATGTTCGCGGTGTCAAAGTACTTTAGGGGGGCGGCACCGTAGGGCAGAAAGTTGCGACGAGCGTCCGCCACGGCAGCGTTGTGCGCCTCCATCTCCGCCAGCAGTCGGTGCTCCTCCGGCGAAAAAGCGTCGTCGACGGCCACCGTCTCCTCAAACTGGCGCTGCCGCTCCGCCTGACGGCGGTGCTTTTCAATGGGGTTAGTGCTTTGCATGATGCCACCAAAGAACTCCTCGGCCGTCTTGCCATCCTTCTCCCATGGTGGGATGAAACGGCGGGCGAGGCGTCGGCACGGCTGCAGTGCCGTCTGCCGAACTCGCAGGGACGTGTGCATCGGCCGCCGATGTGAACGCTATTTCGCGATGACGACGAAACACAAGCACAAGAACAACCACCGAAAAGGGTAGCGCGTTAGAAGTTTAATACCCGTACAAACTGAGGACGGATTCAGCGCACAGAAGCGCGTAGTGGAGTGGAACTATACAAAGCACACACACACAGCGGACGAGAAGATAGATGAAACGCCCGTCTCGAAGTCGGTTCAACAAAACAGAGAACTATCAGAAAAAAAAGGGTAAGGTGGAGGCTCAATGCTCCATGCCATCAACGAAAGAAGAGAAAACACGAACATAGGGCTCGCAGTTGTCGACGGAAAAGGGTATTTATTCCTCCTTTGAAGCTTCCTTGGCTTTCCTTGTATTGTTTCCCATTAAAGCCCTCACGGAAGAGCACGTGTGTTTGTGGGTGAGGTAAAGTGAAGTCTTTTTTTATTGTTATTGGTGTTGTTCCCTTCCTTTCCTTTTACACAGTTGGATCGCAGCGCGAGGCGCGTGTGGGTGTCCAAGAGACATCCGCTGAGAACCCGTCCCTATTTAACGAACGTTTCGAGTCGAGCGAGAACAACAAAAGTAAATGTAGCATCAAAACTTCCTCTCCTCCACCTTCTGCTCTGCTGAGCAAACGTCACATCAGCTTCTTCCTAGCTAAGCCCTTCCCTGTTTGCTTCAGGGCAACGTCGTAGCTATTGCGGTTGTAGTGGTGCAGCACCTCCACACTGGGCAGCTTCCCCCATGCCCGCACCTTCTCCTTCACGCGCAGCAGCGACTCCTCGACAAGTATCAACAGCACCACTAACGAAAACAACAACGCCGTCATGGCAAACGCGGATTGGTTGAGGTATAGCGGTGTCTCGCCTCCAATGAGAGAGTAGCCGATGGAGGCAACAAGCTGCCGCAGCCCATTTGGTGGACTTTCCGGTGTGACAGGGAAGACGATATCTAGCAGGGTCGTAATCTGCATCAGCGAGATTAGAACGTAGAAGAGCGAGAAGCACACGGTGGCGAGCGCCGCTACGCAAAGAGACACGGTAAACGGCAGATGATTTTGAAGATCCATTGCTCTTGATACTAAAGATGAGCTCAAGTTACAGTCGTCACAAACAACAACAGAAGCAACAGGTGTTTTCTCAGCGCTTAATCAGTACCTGCGGTACGTTGAAGGGATCGATTGTAATTCACACAGATTCACAGAACACAGAACGGGAAAAGGTAAGGCGGTGGAGGACACAAAACTGGAGGGGGAAGTACCAGTGAAGATTGGATAGCTCTTAAAGTAATGAAACTACATCGATGTCGTTCAAAGGAATAAGAAAATATCATTGCTGTCAGCTTCTCCGAGTAGTTGAAAATCAATGAAGCGCGATCCTGTAGAAGCCGTCGGAAGCGACGACGTGCTTGTGAAGATGGCGCGCACGTGTTAATGCAGCGCCGCTCGTTGAGAACTGCTGTTAGAAGACAGCGCCTCTTAGGTCAATCGTGAGTAGAGAAAAAAAAAACAACAGGAAGTTTGTTGCGCTTTCTTAAAGCGAGGCTTCCCCGCTCGAGCATAGAAAGAAAAAGTGACGACAAGCAAAAAAACGAAATCCGCCGCGGTGAAAGAAAACAAAAAGTCCAATTCAAATCGGTGGCGCCAACTCAAAGATCATCCACCTTACAAATAAAAAAATGAATCAAAACTGTAACGATGTGACAAAGCGTCATCTCAAAAAAAAAAAGCGGGATCCAGCCAAGTGAGGAGAGACAAAAACAGAAAAATGGCGCCTCACCACCAAAATGAACTCTTTCGAACACAAGCACACAGACACACAAAGAGTGTCCACGAATCAGCTTTTTTCTCACCACAAGGAAACGAGCACCAACAAAAAACAGCACTTGAAAGCCAAAAAGATGTGGCTAAATGAGCCTCTTTGACTTAAGATGCTGATGGAAGCCCTGAATGTAGTCCTGTGTCCGTCGTGCTACCTCGCGCTCCTCGTCATCCTTGGCCTTCGCGCCGAGCCACTCCGTCATGTCCGTTCCACGCGCCTCCCCTTGCATCTTGCCGCGCTGAATTTCCAACTTGCGCACCTCGCTACGCGACTCCACCACCGCCACCGCACGTCGCTTCCAGAACTGCTCATGGTAGACGTTCGCCTCGTGCTCCAGCCGAATCGGGTCCTTCTTACGCAACACCTCAATATCGCTCAGCAAATCGCGCGTGCGTTGATCCAGCAGGTTCTCACCCAGCTGCGCCTGGGTAGCGGTCTGCAGCTTCGCCACACGGTAGCGTGCGATGACCTGCGTCCCGACAAAGAGGAAAACCATGCCGACAAACCACTTGTGGAAGTCTGTGATGAACCAGTACCACGAGGCGATGTGGTTCGTCGGGTGAATGTAGACGGCTTTCGTGGTGTTGCTCAGCACCACAATGTTCCTTCGCCGCGGTGCGTCCTCGTCCGCCATCGCGCCGAGGGCGGTGGACTTCGTGTCCGCCTTCGTTTCCTCCTTTCCAGAGACATCTTCGTGGTGCCGTGACGACTCACCTTCCTCTTGTTGCTGCGTGCTATGCATCTTCTCGGTGGCGTCTGCCACGGCAGCGGCGAAGCGCCGAGGCACCGTCACGGCCGAAAGCACGGCACCGCTGCGCATCGCCGACGGCACCCATGCAGAAAAGCGCTTCATTGCGTACTTTTCTCTGTTCGTTTGACTGCGATGGTATTTGCTTTCCCTATTGCTGCCTGAATTGCTCGACGTGTCTTCAATGGGCGCAGGAGCAAGGTAGTCCACAAGCTAACGTGAGTGCAGTGATGCTTCGTGTTCCTAACTGTAAATAAACAGTGATAATAAGATGCCAAATATACGGAAAAAAAGGAGGGAAAGCCACGGTAAGGTATCAAGGAAAGCAGCGCGCAGATTGATTGCCAGGATATATGCGGGGGGTGACGAGGATAAGAAAGGAACACGATGAAGTCCGCACCGTACCGTTTGAGAAGAAGCAGTGAGAAATAAAGAAAAAAAAAGATGCAGATTTCCAGAGGTGGTCGTGATAAATTGCCTAACGTGTTCGTCAACGAAGATCACCGTCGGCAAACGCACCGCAGTAAACACCAAGCTGTCACTTCTTCTTTTCTATTTTCTTTGTTGTCGGTCACGGAGCCTTTAGGAGCGAGAGAGCAGCAAGCAAGAGAACGTGTGTTGACGCACACACGGTTACATTTTTACGCAAGAAGAAAAGAAGAAAAGAATACTTTGACCGACGTGGGTCGGCTATTAAGGAAAAAAAAGGAAAAAGAACGCCATGGTGAGGCAGGCGCAGTGACCTTTCTACCACCTTGGTAAGGTCGGCCTTCGACGAGACGAACGCACCGTCTTCACCACGCGACCTGTCAGCACTCCGGCGAAGCCAGCCACTGCGAGAGCCATCAGAAGGAGAAGCAAACAGTCGCGGACAAGAGAGAACCGGCGATGCTGGTTGTCTGTGTTGCTCGTCAACCTCTCCTTCGCCATCTCCACACACTCGCTCGCGCCGGAAAACCAGAAGCCTCTGCCCACCGCCGCCCGCGTGCACCGCAGCGTTCCTTTGTACCGTGATATTTCTCCGACTCTGTTCGTTGTCGACGCCAGCGGGTGCATGAATCGAGGAAACCTCTCCTCTCGTGCCGCTGCCGGATGCGCAATTCTACTTTGATTACTTTCTTCTTGCGGGGTGAAGGCCGCTAACTGGTCCGCTTGATAAGGAGGTAGGGACGCACGGGTCTGCGCGGAGGGAGCAGTTCCGCGTGCCGGTACAACAACCTCGGTCACCGCCGCTGCTATTTTCACCACCGTGTCGTTCGCATGTATTTCCGCCAGTGTCTCGCTGTACCAGGTGAGGACCTGCAGGTCCACGTACACCTCACACTTTAGCTGCCGACGTGTGCCGGGCGTCGGGGCCACGGTCACACCAGCGGTCGTCATCTCATAGGCGCAGAACGACGGCATCTTCGCCTGTGCCTGCGAGGGGGTGAAGGTAAACCCGAAACGATGCCCTTGACTTAGGTGGCACCGCTGCTGCTGAGAGAGGGGCCACTCCTGCAGCAAGTCCTCGCCTGTGAGGGACAGGCCGGCGGAGCCGCGCAGGAACGGGCTCAGCCGCATCGCACAGGCCGGCGACACGGAGTGCGGTACCCACACCGCGATGGCGGCGGCCCTATTGCCCACATCCTTCGCGTTGGCGTACACCGCAGCGCCGAGGCAGAGGGTGCGAGTGAAGTCACCCAAGAAGAAACTCACGTCAAACGGACGCTCCGTTTCGTCGCGGGGGTCCGTGAGCACCGGCAGGACGGTCCCGTCGTCCTCGCCGTCCACATCGGTCAACGGCGAGATCGCCGTCTTGGCTGCCTCGACGGATTCGGCCTGGAAGACACCGAGGTCGACCAGCCCGACGGCGTGCAACTGCGTCGGTGCCGCATCCCGCTTGCGCAGCTCCGTGCTCGCCGCCGACTCCGGCATCCCGCTGTCGTTCTCGCGCACCGATGACGTTCGTCGTGTTACCGGATTCACCACCGCTCGCACGGGCACAAACTCCTGCCGGTGAAGACTAACCGATTGCGTCGTGGAGGCGACGGCCGAGTTCTTTTTGGCAGCTAGCGCCGTGACGACGGTGTCGAGGGCGCAGCTGTCACTGAGCAGGTCACGCTCGCTGAGCAGCACTGGCGCTGCGTCGGAGGCAGCCGCTGTCGTACCATCGGCGTGGTGGTGCAGATGGTAGGCCTGCAGGCGCCACGCAAGCACCTTCGTCGTTTCGGCAGAGTTCGCCACGGCAGCGATGAGGGAAAGCACCAGTAGGAGTAGAAGGCCGAAACCGCCAGCAGAACGATTTCTGTAAGAGAGAAAAATAAAGGTGGCCATACCTACTTGATGATCGCCCAATCTCTTCTTTTTTGGTTTCAATGGAATTAGGGTAGGTTCCTGCGAGTCAGCACAGGAGCATTCACGCACGGGTAACTATCAGTCACAGAATACGAAAGAAAAAGAAAAAATGTGTTCTTCAACTTGAATAAATTTACTTTCACTGTCGCTGTCGCCGAGAGGCTTTGTTGATGTACTTTGCCGGACCCCCAAACAGGCACGGTACTGCTTTCCTCTCTAAGTACTGTTGAAGATAATTCTTCAGGGTCTGGGGTGCTTCGTGTGAACAAAAGCAAAAAAAGCAAAGAGGGTGGACCGGAAAAATCGGTAGAAGACAACAGAACGTGTCTGTTTGAAGAGAGGAGGAACGGTGCTGTGGAAACACTTACTGCAAACCGGAGAGACTCCGTGATTCGACAGCACGTCTTCTCGGCGAGGGAACCATCGCTCCGGCGTGAAAAGTCCTTTTGTGTCCTACGCTTGTCCTAGCCTCTTCAGTCCCTGCTGAGCCCTCCGCAGCCCTCCTTTTTCGAGATCCGGGTGAGCACGCAGCAAGAATTCATCTGCAGGGCCGTCGAACGTGTCGTGTGGAATGAGAAAGCGGAAGAAACACGCAAAGCACTTTCCCTTTCGGTGAAAGCGCGAGACTCCCGCTGAAGAACTACGACGCGTGTTCTCACAAATCAAAAGAGAAGCCTCTTCTCCAGGACCCATTGTATTTGTGCGTTCTATTTTATACATTTTTTTTGGCTTCAGGATACTGAGACAGCTTCCCACATGCTCCTCAAACGCGATGTCATACACATCTTAGAATGTCCAGCCATACATATATGTATGGGCGAGGGGCATGAGTGCGATCGAAGATAAGGAGAACATCGCATGTCGCATTTGCAGTCTGTTCTTGAACAACACACACACACACACACACACACAAAGGACGCGTCTTGTATCCTCGGTTCAACGCAGAACAAGAGCAACAATGCGCCCTCGTCACCACCACCACAACGTTGTCATAACGGAAACACTGAAACGGGGAGCGCACTCAAGTAGCAACAAATAAGAACGCATCGTACTGAATGCATCACGGCGGAATCAAAGCAACGAAGACAAATATAAATGCATACATAAATATAAATGCTTAAGTATATATATACGCACCGGGGGCCACTCTTCGTTCAACGACAGTTCAAAAAAAAAAAGAAACCGTTCTCCATGATAGCCGGCAGGGGGAAAAAAAAGAGGAAGAGAACACCACGAACAGAAAGAAGCCGATAAACAAGCAGACAAATAAAAAGAGTCTTACAGCGTAACGTCACCGGCACACGTATGGATCAAGAACAGCGAATGTGATGACACCGACGGAGAAGCGCTGCACGCCGCCAACTAGGAAAAAAAAAACAGGAAAACAGAAGAAAAAAATCATTCACGGTGGCGCACGCAACTTCGTCGACAGAAAACGACAGTCGCCGTGTGCACATCTTCGTTCTCAGTAGCCAAGGCTTTCCGCCCGTAACCTTCACCATCCAGATTGTTGGCGTCAAAACCCTGCAACAGCACCAGCGGCCTCTATTTTGACGTGAGAGTCTGTAGTTTCTCTTTGTCACTGCACATTTTTTTTTTCGCTGCAAAAGGTGATACGACTTTCTTCCCTTGGTATGTCCGTGTCCTTTTCCTCTTCTCTCCACTCTCTGGTTCAAACTCCTTCACCACAACATCTCCGTGGTACAGTTTGTGATGCAGTACGTTGAAGTGCATGTGCTTGATGGACGAGGGAAGCAGAAGAACGGAAAGGTTCGCGATCACAGCCTATCGACAACAACAACAAACAAAGAAACACCAAGCAAAGAAATCTTTGCAAAAAGAGAGAAAAACAACTGCATCTCACGTGGCTGCAAGCAAGCATGCTAGCAAACGAAAAGAAAAACGTTTACATACGTACGAAACCTCCAGTAACGAAGACATGGCCAAAAAACAAACAACAAAAAACGTATATGAACGAAACTGATATCAGTTTGACGTAATCGTGAGCAGGGGGAGGGGGGGGGGGAGGGGAAGAAGGGGGAGAGGCAACAAGAACAAAAGAAAGCGCTGATATATATAGAACAGCACAAAGTGAGAACGGGCACAATAGTAGTAATAGTAAAAGCCCACGATGGCGGCGTAGCAATGGGCAGTTGCTGCGGTGAAGTTGATCTCCGCTTGTGTTGGAGTCCATCTTACATTTTATTTTCATTAAATTGCGTCTGTGCCGCTGCGATGCACTGTCAGTTTCCATTGACGGTACAGCAACAGGCATGGGTGGGCGTTTTTGCCTTTTCATCGCCATCTCGTCTGCTCCACAGCAAATAGCGTCCATCGGCCTCTTGCTGTCCTCAACGGGGTAGGCACAAGAGAAACAAAAAATAACCGCAGAATGAAAGCAAAAAGCAATTAAAAGCGCAAAAACAGAGGCAACAAAAGAAAATAATGAAGCGCGCGAAAACAAACAAACGCAAACGCAAGTCTGTCGCCAAAACAAAAGGAAAAAAGAAGAACCAAAAATCAAAGGCCATTTGCCTCACATTGCGACATCCATGGACGCCTCACGGAGGAAGGTCGTCACTTCTGTTGCAAGCTGTGGCAAACAAATAATAAGAATAAAGGCAGAAGTTGCAAACGCATACACGTACGCAGTACAAAGGGGAAAGGAGAAAGGAGGGGAGGATAGAGACTCAACGGGAAACTGTAATCTGTAAACGTGGTTGCACAGCGACAGAAGACTTCGCATTCCCTTTTACAAAAAAACACCCATAGTGATTCAAAAGTCAAGTGAAAGAAGAAAGAGAACAAGTATAATGCAACAGAGGAAAGAAAAGGGTCTTCTTCACGGGAGAACAGTTCGGCAAAAAAAGAAAACCGTTGCAGGTAGTGCAGGCATCAAAGTCGCCCTCACGCGCTCGTGCGGGAGGGGCGAATACGGGCGTAGAGAGAGAGAGGTACAAATGCATAATTCAAGTACAGCCGATGTGAAAAGGATAGCGACGCTCCATCCTAGACACACCAGTACGGTTGCAGAGGCGCTGCAATAAGGCACACCTGCCTCACACAACGCTGTCACACTAGTCATCATCACCGCAGGGAGAACAGACAAGAGTAACAACAACATAACTCCGCACTTTATGCATCCGTCGTTTCCTGTCACGTCCGTGGAGAACTCGCGACCCACCACGGAGACCTTGTTCCTTCTTTTTCTTCCTCGACTCTCTTCCTTGCGATGGCTGGACGCCCTCCTGGGAAATCGGCTTCTTCATTTTCTCCTTTTTGCTTCGTCCAGCCCCACTTGGGTGGCTTCTCGCTACACCTGTGGTCCGCTGAGGTCCCTCAGCCGCAACAACAACAAAAGAAGAAGCTCCATTAAATTCTACACATGAGTAGAACAATAAGAGTCTCATTTTTCACTTCCAAAGATCTCTCCTTCGCCGGTTCGTCGTCTTCCTGCAAGCGAGTAAGCGATCCACACCAGGACGAAGTTCCACGTCTTTTTCTAGGATGCGCCTCCGCTGTCCGGAACATTCCTGCGCCGCGTTGTCGATGACGTGGGCGTCAGTCCGCATGAAGCTAAATTTTCCGTCGACTCGAGGGCCCGCTTCGCTTCCATCCACGCCTGCGCGTTGGCCTGCCGCTTCTCGTCCATGCGGCGCTGCTCATCCTCCGTGTATCGCGGGAAGCAGCCGCTGCGTTTCGAGGTGAAGTCACCGCTGTTGGGAGGGCTCTCTCTGAGAGCGCCGGACACCATCTCTGTCGAGTTTGGAGAAATGCTCAGTCGGTTCAGCAGGCGCGATGTTGCGGATACCCCCTGATGGGTGGCGGACAGCGGAGTGAAGGTGAAGGACAGGTCAGATGACGACGTCGACGTGAGCGGAAGCTGCAACGACGACACGCGGGAGGGCATCTTCTCGCCGCCTTCCTCTGCCGGCTTCTTTGGGGCGTGAAGATCGCTTGGACGCCTGCGGTGCGGAAGAGCAGGGGTCGCCTCACTGGAATGTGCCGCCGCTGGCTCTGCAGCTTGTGCATTCGTGCTGGGAGTCTTCGGTGGATCGTGCGGTGCAGTCGCACTTCCAGCCTCAGCAGTGGTGGTGAGGGTGGTGGTCGACGCGTTGGGCGTGGCAGCTGCCGCGTCGTTGCACGTACACGCGTCGGCATCTGCTTTATCGGCCTCTTTTCCCTTTGCGACATCTGTCGCCGCACCTTGATGATGCGGATGATGCGGATGGTGCGTGAGCTGGTTGGCGGCGTGCAGGAGAGCGCAGTGACGCATGTAGCAGCACTGCAGTCGCCGCCTATCTTGCCGGAGTTCCCAACACATCAGCGAGTGCTTCACGCAGGAAAGCAAGAGCAGCACCACCACCACGAGCACCCACCAATTTGCAAGGATAAACTCTGTTAGGTTGTTGGTGACATCGTTCCACAGGGTGAGCGACTCCACGCCAAACGTCTTGAGGGGTGTTGCGTTGGATGCACTCATTTCCCGGAAGAGAAAAAGAACAAGCGAGAAAGGGGGAAATAACGTCGTCAACAGCAATCAGAGAAGTACCTGCTGCGTAACAGCCTAAAGACGTGAGCTCTCGATGACTTGACTGCTCGACGAGATAAGACAAGAGAGTTTTTAAAAAGGTTTAACCTGATACTATGAAGCAGAAAAAGAAGAGAACAATAAAAATTATCAATAATGTTGCCGCGAAAGGGGGGGGGGGAGGGAGGTGCAAGATGCCAACGTGAGGAGCAAAAATAGACACTTTTTGTTGTTGAGCCCGATTGCTCTCACGAAACAACTGGCGTCGCAAAAAAGAAAACAAATGAAGGGCGCTAACAGCAAGCAAAACTATCTATATATACTTAGAACAGAATCACAAAACGAGTAATAACAATAATACTTGGGCTAATGCTGTCGATTCAGAACGAAGACGTCCGCTAGTTGGTCAGTTTAGCAAATGAAACTAAAATCGAACAAAAAAGGTGACACGACAGTCGGGTTTCCTTAAAACGTTTTTACGCGCCGCTTCTCCTTTGTACTGGTGATCCAAATGCTCTCCCTTTCACAGTTATTTCTTTTTCTTCTGGAGGGAGGGGGAGGGAGATGGGAAGAGGGAGAGAACTGTGAGCGGCAGAGCACAGACACACGATCCTGCGTACACCTTCAACGATACACCGGTGAATACGGAGTGACAAAGGCTGAGCCAGCAACAAAAGCAACGCGTGAAAAAAAGAGATGGAACGCAGAAGTGGTGAGCGTACTTTCACGGGACCGAGGAGAGCAATAACGGTAGCTAATACTACTAGAATAGAGATACGAGTATTAAGAATACTTATACTAGAACCAGGGAAACAAGCAAACAACAACAAGAGAGTGAAACAAGAAGGGCCGCATACACAGCTCAGTAAGAAAAAGCAGCGCAGAGAAACTGTACAGTAATATATATATATATATATGACAAAGCAAAGAAGAACAAGAAGAGTAGCAAGCAAGCAAGCAACCACACATACAGAAAGAAGAACACAGAAAAAATAGCTCCGTCGAACCAAATGTCGGTCACGACGCGGTGGAGAGCCTTCTCACGCCTGCTCCAACCGGAGGAAAACAAAAGAAGGAGAAAGAGCAAAAAAAATAAGAAACTGAATAATAATAATCATAAAACAATCACAAAAATACGAGTGAGCTCTGCACGTCGCTGACAGATACTTTCGTTATGGTATCGTTTTTTTTTTGTTATTATTCTTAATTTTTTTTTTGATGAGAAGGACCAGAGAGCAAAGTAAAATGAAAAACAAAGAGCTGGTTTGGCCCTCTTCTCACGGGAAGACCAACGTTTTAAACGGCTCACAGTCGGACTGCGATGGTAAGTAACAGAGAAAAGGAAGAGTGAGAGGCAAAAAAAAGAAAGATAATTACGGATAATCATCAGAGAGGGAAAGCAGCGGAGATGAATGAGATGTGGAGCGTACAACAGAAACGTATTAAATGCAAATTAGCCTCATCCGCCTCGCTCTCATGCCCAAAAAGAAAAGGAAAGGAAAGGAAAGGGTGCGAGAAAAGCGGGACAAAAAGCGTTCACAAAAGACGAGATAACAAAATAAAAATAATAATACCAAACGCGACAACAAAAGACTGAGGTGGCGGTGGGCCAAGGAGGTCAACACGTTCGCTGTGTGCCACGCACAAGTTGACACTCGCTCCTCCTCGTTGTGAACGCCTCGTTTTTTCTCAAGTGTTTCCTTCGCGTCCTGATTCTTCGTGAAAACAATAAAAGCGAAGAAGACACGGGGAAAAAAAACAAGTGGATTAGTCAAAGTAAATGTGGAGAAAACAGAAAGAGTTTGTTTTCAACTTCTAGAGCGCAACGATCCGACGATCTATTCTTCTGTTGTTGTCGTTGCTGTTTCACCGCACACAGACACAAGCAAACGTAATGCAAAGGAAGAGCGAGGAGAGAGAACGAGATGAAACAGCAGAGCAGAGAAGAGGCTTCAACGAACGGGTGCGTGTCAGCGAATGACAACTGTTGGGAGATTATTGTGAATACCAGTTCGTCGAACATAAATTGCTCTGACGGAATTCATCCACGCTGGCTGCAACACCTAGCCACCTGGTGTTGAGATGTGGGAGTGACAACACCTGCGTCGGTGGCGTGAGAAACATCCTTTCTCAGCGCGGAAACGGCAGGCATGACTTTCTTACGGCATAACGGTCTCTCGCATTCTCGAGAACAACACCGTTGTCGTTTTTCTTAAGTTGTCTTTCGCTGTTAATGAATCCTCTTCACGAGACGGCTTGGGGTTTACCAGAACGAGTTTACATGCTCGTACGTGCATCTATGTTTTGCCTCTATAACGTTGCAAAAAAAAAAAAATGTTAATAATAATAATTGGCACGACAGCAAAAAACCCTGCCGGCGAAGGAAACGATGCGCAGGAGTCGACGTTGCGCGGACAGGGAAGCGGAAGCTGTAAAAACAAAACCAAAGGAAGGAACGAAGCACACTCTATCATTCACTCTACAGGAGAGAGAGAAAGCGCAGCGCGGTTCGTCGAATTTCACTCCGATGACTGCACGTGAAAGAAAGAGAGAAAAAAAAAAAGAGAAGAGAGCAGCGACATGAACGTTTCAAGGCGGACAAATAAAAAAATATATTTGAACGTTGCAGAGTATTTCTAAAAGTACGCGCTTTCTAGCCCAGTTCCGGCCGTCACCGCTCCCTGGACAACGTCGCTGTTGAAGAAGGATTTCACCGCCAGGTCGTTGTACGACGAACGAATAATGTTGTTGTCTTTGCTGTGAATGCCGCTGCTCGCCGTCGTCGATTGGGACGGAGGCAGCGCGCCAGCCGCCACAACACCGGCCTTGTCTAATGACACGGACCCCACGATGGGCTGCGTGCGTCGGGTAGATGGTCCTGCAGCTGCTGCTGCCGATGAAGAAGGATCGTTGTTGTGGCTGGAAGACGCAGGCGACGGTTCTGTCTTGGCGAGGGAAGAGGTGCTGGTGCGACCATGAGGCTCTGTGAGGCCCGCCGTCTCGGAGCTGCCGCCGCGCTCTTGACTGCTGCGCGCCGGGGAAGGCGATGACGACGTTGGGTGGGCGTGGAAGAGTGATGGGCCTCCTTGCGCGACTGAATTCGGATAGGCGGACCCTGCCCCGGGTACGGGGCTGCTCGTCGCTGGGAACCTGGGTGCCGCACTGACCGGTGGGCGGTACGTCGGCGCGCCACCACTGCTAGCCACATTGCGGTAGCCTGCTGGACTTAGTACGTTGCTGTTGGTGCCAAACTCCCGCATCAGGTCGGCCGGAACACTCGCCGTGGTGCCGCAGCGCTCGTCCGCAGCTGCAGCAGCAGTAGCGGCCGATGCTCCTGCAGAATAACTGCTAAGACTACCGGAGCGATAGCCGCCAGCGCCGCTTAAAACACCCCAGTGGCGACCGTTGATGCTGGTGCTTTGTTGCAATCGCAGAAGCGCCTGCTGGGTCTGCTTCACCTCCCGTACCAGCTGCTCCCGAGCGCTGTTCGTCTTCTCGAGCTGATCGCGCAGCTCGTTGTTCTTGCGCAGCAGCTCTTGAATGCGCTCGTTTGCCGTGGCTGCCTCGTCTTGGTGACGGCGCAGGGAGCCCTCCCGCTCCAGCAGCAGTGTTTCGTGACTGCGCAGCTGATCTGCGGCGATGTGGTAGCGATCCTTCGCGTTTTTGATAGTCTGCAGCTGATTTGCGATGATGTGGTGCGCCTTTTCCAGGCTCTTCTCTGTCTCTCGCACCCGCTCGGCCTGCTGCTTGTTTTGATCGGCGAGAATTCGAATGTAGTCGTCCTGCTTCTCGTAGTGCTCTTGAAGCGCGGCCACCTTCTCCTCGCGACTTTGAAGTGTGGTGGTCGTCCCACGCAGCCGTTCAGTCAATGTGACGTAGTTCAGCTCGTTTTCCGACATGGCCTTGGTGGCCTCCGCCTTGAAGTTCGCCAACTCGTCGTTCATTTCTCGCAGCGTCACAAGCTCCTTGTCCTGGATATTTGCGGCGTCTTGGGCACTCCGCAGCTGCGATTGCAGAGAGGCCTTGCAACCCTCCAGCTCCGCCACCCGCGCCCGCAGCTTCGCCAACGCCGCGTCGCTTTCCGCCGTCGTGTCGCGCAGCTGCAGTGCTTTCTCCTCCAGCGCACGCGTGTGCGTTTCCAACTTCTTCTCGTACGACTCCCGCAGCGCAGCCGTGTCTTTCGCGTGCTGCTCGCGCAGCCGGTTCAGCGCCGACAGCTGGTTCTTCTCCGCCTCCGTCGCCATGAAGCGCATTGCATCGTCGCGTTGGTGCAATGTCTCGCGCAGTGCGTCGTTGTCACTACCGAGGCGGTCCACCCGCGCCTGCAGATCGGCGGTAAGAGCCGCGCCGGAGGCCTCTGCGTGGCGAAAGGCGTGCTCGTAAAACTGAAAGCGCTCCGCCAGGTACCTCTTCAGCCCGGCGTCGCCCTGCCGAAGCAACTGCAGAGAAATGTGCTCGACCGTCTTGAACTCCGTCGTCTCAAGCACGCGCAACGTCCCACGGCTCACGTCGGCCATCGTCGCGGCGGCTGCGTGGAGCACAAACGACAGCTCGTAGGGCGACGACCCATCTGCGACGTCGCGCAGCATGTTGACCAGATAGCGGGGAAAGCCCTGAAAGTCCACGAGCAGCTCGAGGCGCTGCTTAAAGGCACCGTAATCGTCCTCCAGCAGCTCCAGTTCGTAAAGAAAGAAGGGATCGGCAGGGTCGGTGAGACGGACCAGAACGAGTCGCGTTACGCCGTTCGGCCCACCCCGCCCAGCACGAACATACAGGCCCAGCGGACGCAGCTGAGCTTCTTGGGAGGGAAGCTTCGTGGAAACGGGAAGGACGACCTCCAGCATGGCTCTCTCCTGCTCCGTGATCGTCTTCGGCTGCAGTTGCTGATGCGGCGACGCCGGCCGGTCGGCTCGCAGCTCGCGCATCGAGGGTGCAGGAGAGTAACGCGCATCCTCTTCCACAGTCGTGTTCGCACCATAGATATTCCTGTTGCTACTCGTGACGTTGTGATACACGCCAGGGCCTTTCAAGCGAGGAGAGATGCTGCGTCGAGGTGGTGCGTTGGTGTTCATGTCGTCGCTCTGGCCAGCGTAATTGGCGGGTGCGTTGGTCTTGCCTTTCGGCACAACGACTTCGTCTTTGTTGGTGAAATAGTCATAGAGAGGTTGGCGCGTGTAGGAAGGTGCGTTGTGGCCGTCGACGTGGTGCGACGATGCACGTGGAGGTTGGGGTCCGCCGTAGACGGTGGAGCTGCTCCCATCCTCGGTGCTCATGGTGCTCGAGTTCTGGATGTAACTGTTGATCATTGAGGGTCCTTGGAGGGAAAACGAGAAGTGCTGCCTCAAGCGCTGCGTGTGCCTTGTGCACGAATGCTATGTTAGAAAGAGAGAAATATATATAAAAAGAGAACTCCACTGCGCTACAGAGGCGTCTACTCAAGCAATGAAAGAGAGTATGAATACAACTGTATGGAACGAGGGGGAGGTGTTCGGTCCACTGCGTGTTAATCCCTCCGCCGAGAAGAAATCTATGTGGAAGCTACGTCGATAGTAGTGCTAAAGCAAAACAACACGATTGAAGTTGGAACTGCTGCTTCTACTTGTGTTCGGATTTGTGTGGGTGTGTGTGTGTATGTCTATGCTGTTCCTTTACTGGAGCCGAATTGACGGGTGAGAGGGACGGCCCGGAAAAAAAAATAATAATAATGGAGACTTCACCAATGAAAGCAGACGCCTACGTCTCGAGCACCGAGTGCGCGTCAACGACAGTTAGCGATGGTTGACAGCAACCGCACGGTGTCCCTTTCTTTATCTTTTTATTCCTCTGGCGGAAAGCACTTCCATTGCAAAGCCCATCAACAACAATAATAGACAACAGAGTTAATGAGAAGAACAAAGATGCAGGTCAGGAGAAGAAGTTAAAGGACGGTGTCAAAGGGAAACGCTCATTAATGAATATTTAACAGCCAGAACCGTCGTTGGTAATCCATCAGAAACACAACCGAAAAGAGCAACTTGACGAAGTGCAAATGCTCTTGCATCAAAACCGGGATGTTCTTCAGAAAAAAAAAAGAACATGCAAACTTGTCTTTAAGGTGCTTGCACAATCATTTGAGAAGGAAAGTACAAGTCTCACTTGCTTCAAGGGGAGGCACCTCCACTGGAATCGATCCGTGCCAAAGCTCAGCCTTTGGGGGGAGGGGCAAGAGAACCCATTCGAAACGCGTTTCCCTAATTTGGACTGTAACGAGACAACGGAAATCAATAACAACAACAAAAGAGAGAGTGGCAACTCGACTCCGTTCACAACCTGAGTCGAGATACTTCTTATTAGTAGTAAATTTAAAGTATAAAAAGAAACGTCAACGAGCAACAAACAACACAAACAACGCCGATAGCTCTACAAACGGCAGCCATATATGGCTGCAGACAGACGAAGAGAGAAGGCGAGATCAAAAAAGCTCCAACCTCCGTTGACGCGCAGGGCTGGCGTAGCGCGAAACGAACAATCACAATACCTCCTTTTAAAAGAGCCGCAAAATCTCGCTACTGGGAGAAGAGAAGTCAACACTGGAACACAACAAAGCTTCGTGTAACCCTCAGAACAACATCCAACAGGGCAACGCCACGCAGCACGGCCGTCAATACTGTGAAAAGGAAATGCACTTTCTTTACCGCAAAGACGCCTAACACTGTATTGGGAGGAGGGAGGGTTCTTCTTTCATCTTCTCTGTCAAATCTTCCTTCTTTCGTTCACCGGCTACTTCATTGGACGTTGGGGTCGTGCAGGTGGCGCCGGCGCAGAACGGCGTCGCGCTGCTGCTGCACCCCCTCCACGTTCATCTCCTCCTCGCCAATCACCATCGTCGCTGCGTTGAAGGCGTTGCGGCGGGACTTGTAAATCTCCTGATTCATCGCGCGCTGCCCCGCCGCACTCGTCAGGCGCTGCGAGACGTAGTCGGACGGCTGCGACTCTTCGTTGGCGGCGCTGTCCATGCGGAGGACAACAAAGAAGGCGAAGAGGAAGAGGTTACGAATTACGCGCAGATGCGTCGACTTCGTCTCCGGGTCCTTGCGCCAGCGACGCACAAACCACGACAGAAGCGGGACGTGGACCTTCTTGGGCATCCAGTAGTCGGCGAGGTCGTGGGCGAGGACGGCGATCGGGATGCCGACACAGACAGCCTTGATGTACGTGTTGTACGGCACCACAGGGAGGCGCAGCTCCTCAATGCGGTTGACCGCTGAGCTGACCGCGACGGCGAACTGATCCATGGCTACGGTGAAGGGGAGGGAAGACGCGATGAGAATAACCGGTACTTTGCTGCGACTCAGAGAGAGAGAGACCCAGATTTGATGTGAGATCGTTGAGATGCGGAACGAACCGGAAAAAAACAGAACACCTCAAGCTGCGATGGATGCACGCACCAACGGAAGACGGCGAATAGTGCGACTAGAGATTGGCAACAGCGGCGATATGTCGAGAACAAGAAGAGTGAAAGCAAATAACATAAAAAGGAAAGGTTAGATGAAAGGTGAGAAGCATGTCGGAAGAAGCAGGAAACGTAGCACCTTTTCTGCATGAACGACAAAGCGTACTCGCGCCGGCCAGAGGGAAAACACGTCACATTGCGGTTTTCAGCGGCGAAGACAACAACTCCACACCACGCCACACACCAGACCCGTCGCTTAATACTGTCCCGTCAACGTCAAACCACGCATTCCGTCAGGAAATCCAGAAAAAAAAACACAAAAAGAACCTTTCTCTTGGCATCTTTATCGTCCGCAACATCACGCATGCAAACTGTTCCGTGCATTTGTTACAATGCTGTTTTCCTCCAGCTGAAATAATGCCATTAAAAATAAAGAGGTTTGTAAACATTACAGATGTTGTCGGTGAATCATGAAGATGAAGGATAACGGCAACTGCGGAAAGAGTGAAAGGTGCCATCACAGTGAAGCACAGAATAGAAACCGCACAGACAAAAAAAAAAGAACAGACAAGTTGGACAATCAACACGGCAATTACAGCAAAGAAAATACGCGTGAGAAATAAAAGGACGAACATGACAGAGGACAATACATTGAAAGGTGAAACCGGCGCACAACAGTGCCATTCGCTACCGTTGCGTGCGGGAAAAGCAGAGAAAACAATTACCGATCGCACCACTACTTCAGACGCAGTCGGGCACAGTCAAAACAGACACGCACAGGCGCGTCGTAGCCGAGGTCTTGAATGATCGCCCGCTTCTCGGAGCAGTTGGCGCACACCAGCCGGCCGCAGTTGCGGCAGTGATGGCGCGACCACCACCCGATCGGCTCCTTGCACATCATGCACGTCGTCGTGTCGTCGTCCGGCTGCCAGACCTTCACCACTTTGTTGTAGCGCTTGAAGCACACCGGACAGTTCCACTCCAGCGGCGGGTGGTCAAAGCGGCTACCGCAACTCGGGCACATGGGGGTATAGGTGCGATGGAGCAACTTCTCAGACGCTACGGGAGGGGCGTTGAGGGTGTGCTGCAGCTCCTTCTGAGCGATCACCGCCGGCATCTGGGACCCCCCTTCCGTCTCCTGCGGGTACTCGAGCGGGTGATTCTGCACGTACTCGCTCCAATCCTTTTTCTGATTCAGTGACTTTTGCTGCTTCTTCGCCTCGTGCTTGGCACGCTCCGCCGCGAGTGCGTCCTGCTCCTCCTGCAGCTCCCGGGCCCGGGCCTCGCGTCGCTTTCGCTTCTTCTCCGCACGCTTCAGCCGCTCCGCCTCCGCCGCCGCGGCCGCCGCCTCCTCCGCGGCTTCCTCGGCCGCTGCCGCGGCTGCTGCCTCTGCTGCCTCTTCCTCCGCTGCTGCGGCGGCTGCCTTCTCGGCCTTGCGGCGGCGCCGCTCCTCCCGACGTCGCACTCGGGCGTCCTCGGCGGCGATGCGCTCCTGCTCCTCCTCCTCCAGCTGCTGTTGCAGCCGCGCTGCCTCGGCGGCCTGCTCCTCCTCGAGCGCCCGCTGCTTCGCCGCGAGTTCGACCTCGCGCCTCGCCATTTTCTCCTTGCGGGCCTGCAGGGCGGCCCGCAGCTCGTCCCAAATCTCCTCGGCGTGGCGGTCGGTGGCCATCTCGCTGTAGATCTTCGCCATGTCCTTCACCGCGACGTACTCGAGCAGCGCCATGTCTTCGTCGCTCACGTCGCCTTTGATAGAGCGCAGGAGACGCTGCACCGGCTCGCCGAGGTCCTCGAAGCGGATGGTGCCGTGCGCGGCAGCGGCGGCGGTGGTGGTACTTGACAGGGACGTGGTGTTGGCAGCGGGACTGTCGTTCTCTGCCTCCTGCTGCAGCGGCGCTGCCGGGGGCGGCGATGTGCGTGGCGTGGAGGTGCCCGACATGGTGACGATGACAGAGAGCAGCGACGGTTGTTTTTGAAATAAAAAGGAAGGAAAAAGCGAAGACGCTTCTAAATACCAAAAAAGAGGAAGCAACCTCCGCCAAAAACAACAGCGATGGGGGGGGAGGGAGAGAATCCACAACTGCGCAATCAGGCTCGGTGCAACACGCCACTTCGCTGTGCGGCTCCCAGCCCTTTCCGATAAAGTAATACTAATAAAACACACGCCAACTCGGTTTATAGTGAATGCTTGAGTTAACTGAACAAATACGCGTCAAACACACAAGCAGAAAAAAGAAGAAGAGATATCCTAAAAGCTGTTTATTACCGTGAACACTTGTGATGGACTGTTGTCAGCACAGGTATTTGTTTTACGCTGAGTGGAAGCCTTAGAAAAAAGAGATGCTCTTTCACGGTTGTAGGTACGAAACGGCAGAAGAAAGAGAAACGGGGTAGAAGAAAAGAAGAGTTTACAGTCCAACAAAGGAAGAGAAACAAATACACTTCGAAAGCAGGCAGTTGGGCAAGTACTTCGGTATCCATCCACTCGATTCCAGGAGAGAGAGAAAGAGAAGCACACGCACACATCACAAAGCCATCAAAAAGAAGAGATACACTCAACCCTGTCAGCGTACCTCCCTCGGCTCCCCCACAAAGAATATAATAAAAAACCTGCGTTGCCTGAGGGAAAACACATGGAAAAAAAACCGTGAAGGACCTCCGAAATGCCTGACTAAATCTGCAGTGACTCTGCTTCGTTTAGATGGCAGTTCTGTGAGTTTCTTTTTGAGGGAATCAGACTTGCTAAACGTGAAACAGTAAAAAAAAATAGTTGAGAGATCCAAAGTTGACGATGATTAGTATTATTAATCATTTTGTGGATTTCCTTTTCTCTTTTCTTTGTCGATTGAGAAACGCGGTTCCACAAGGCGACCGCTGCATTTTTTTTTGGTCTTCTTTTTCGGTTTTGAGGTCGAGTTCAGTAACGTCTTTTCTAGGAGTGATAGTTCTCCACGTTGCGCACAACGAAAATGGGTTAGACGCGATTTGCGGATTTGGCTCGGCAACCTTCACGGCAAAAATGTTAAACACCAACAGCAAAACGACGAGTCCGTTCTTTAAAAAGGCGTCCTTCAGAGGAACGAGTGAGAGAGACAGAGGAAAAAATGGAAACAAGCGAAAACAGTACAAAACAGCGCGCGCGTGCAACGCACCATACAACAATGCTGTGAGGCAGCTTACTTCAGAATCTCTGCTTTCACCGCCGGCTTCGTACTTTGGGGAGTCTTCAGGCCCGCCCAGAAGTAATGACCTGTGTTGAAGTTCTTCGACAAGCAGAAGTTGATCTGAAAGTCACGCGTGATGACAGACTGGAAGAGATCAGGATAAGTGATGATGTAGTCCAAACTCACGTTGCGCACGTCAAAGCGCTGCGCAAACTTCGTCATGTCGCTCGGCGGAACAAACTTGCGCCAGTCGTGCGTGCCCGGCTCAACAATTCCAGTCAGCCTCTCCGCAAACCCGATGTGTGTGATCGCCGTCTTGAGCGACTTGTCCATCGTGGAGAGAAACAGCAGACCACCGGGCTTCGTGGCCTCGCACAGAGCCTGCAAGAAGGCCCGCGCGTCACTCACGTGCTCGATCACTTCGCTCGCCACCACCACATCAAACTGCTTCTTCTCCTCCTCGACCACGTCGAAGAGGGACGCGTGGCGGTAGGACAGCCGCTGCGACCAGTTGGCGAGCGCCGTCGGCGACGCGTAGTTCGCGAGCTGCTGACGCCGCTTCTCGGCTACTGCAATCGACTCTGCGCAGGCGTCGATGCCGGTCACGGTGGCGCCGAGGCGGGCGAGACTCTCCGAAAGGATACCGCCACCGCAGCCGACGTCGAGCACCTCATGCGCGGGTGTAAGACCAGGGCTGCTCAGGAAGCCTACGGAGGCTTCGGCAGGAGCGCTCGAGGCCACCTTGCCGTAGGACCGGACGATGTCGTTTACGTAGCGCACGCGGATGGGGTTGAAGAGGTGCAGGGAGCGCAGCGGCCCGGTCGGGTCCCACCAGTGATTTTGCAAGGCGGCAAACTTTGCCACCTCGTCGGCGGCAGCGCCTTTCATCGCGGCAGACATCGTTAGCTGAAGCTAATAAGTACGTATCTCAATTTGCAGGACAGGCAGCGCACCAAACCAACAACAAAGCCTAAATCGATCTGAATGAGAACGATACCAGGAGATATTCTCTGCGTGTGATTCAACACAAACTAACAAGTACTAACACGGCTGCTTAGGAGGAAAGAAAAAGGAGGCGCTTTTTCAGAGCACACTCAAGGTGCCGCAAGACGGTAATGACGCTAGGATAGAAAAGGATGTGCTTCGCTCGACCAAAGAGCCGGATTCACTCCCGTGCATGGTGTGTGGGGAGAAACATGGCAAAAGGGATCGGTAAGCAAACCATGAGGAGAAAAAAAAGAGAGAAAATGGAATGCATGCGTCATTTGACTTCCAGCAAGCAACTTGTGTACGTTCTCTTCCACTTTTGCATATTATGACCTTTTCAAAGCAGGAGCAAGAGAGAAGTGGATTCCAAGCTTGTAAGTGCCTCCGCTCAAACTCTGAAGGGTCTTGAATAAACACACGGAGGCGGCAAGTTGGGCCTGTCTTTAGCAAGGTCCCACCAAAAATGTGCACCCACCGGAAATGGGTTTCTATTGTCTGCTTTTACCAATTTCATATATATGTATATGTGCAGGCCCGAGTAACGTGAAGCGATTGAAAGTAGCGAGTAGATGAATAAATCAACGTGTGCATTTCTGGAACTCGTCGGCGTCTGTCTTCGTCCGACACAAACACGAGCGGCGGCACTTCGCACAAATGTGACTTCATACGCATCCAAATGGCCAGAACAGATTTAAAAAAGGGCAAAACATATAATATTGAGTGGTACAACAGTAATAGCGTCGTGAAAGAGTGGAACACGCGGACGGTGAGAGTAGTTTCAATTATTCTTTCCACTCACGTGTGTCGCTTCTTCGGACATGGCACAAGGAAGAGAGAGAGCAGCCGAAAAGAAGAGAATTTAAAAAAAAAACGAAGGTAAAAACAAAAGAGGTAGTCATCCGGTAACCGTCCCTTTTTCCCCGGATCTTTCGCGATTCAAATTCGAGAACCGCATGAGAACACGGCGCTCCTTTCTCTTTCCTTCTTCGTGTTTGCTCCATCTCCGCATTTTGGACTTGTATGATAGGTCTGCGTGGTGGAGTCATCGTTGGAAGAGAAACCAGGATTCTTTTCCCTGGAGATAATAGTAGTGAACAAAATCCTTTAAAACTGTAATCTCAAAAAGAAGAAAAAAACGTAGCAATGGAGAGCCAGCACGCGGTGTTCTGCCTTCTGTCGGATTTCTTCAGAGTGCATGAACCTCGTGAACGGGGTTGTTTTGCTTGCTCTATTGCGAGCGCTACGGCAACGCAGAGACGCCACTTTCCCGCAGCGTGCTCGGTGATGATCAGCACGAAAACCGTTTCAGTCAACGTAGCCGAAGCAAAATAATGGTAATGAACAATGCGTGCGAGACGCAGAATAAGACATAGGGGTTTCAAAAAGCAGCACTATGAGAAATACACACACCAAAAAATGTTCTTGGCATACACTGTGATGGCACGCTACTCATTTGCTCGAATTATGATCTCTCCACCCTCCGTTTATCAATCAATTCTCTCTCGCTCCGTCGGGTAATGCTGCGTAGCCCATGTGCACAGCTCACTTCCGTGAAACACACGCGCTCGTTGCATCAAAGCCCTCCGCAGTTCACGCAGCGTATAGAAGGTTGCACGCAAGGCGAGCTGCGCGCAACGAAGCGGCAAAATGAGAAAACGAAAGGAGGAAAAAAGGCAGCAGATGAAGCAGCTGAAAACGGGTTATGCTGGTGTCGAAAAGGGGGAGAAAAGGGAAAATACATAAAAACGGTAAAGGTATAGAAAAGACACCAGACGAGCAGCTCCAAAGGTACATGCAAGGTCGATGCTTTTTTCTGTTTTGGACTGATCTACGTCGGGTGGTTATCTGCACCACGAACAGGAAAAACAAGAAAAAGGAGAATTTGGCTCTTCAAACTCGATGGAGGCAGCACGATTCTCACCACCATTTTTGTAAGCGTTTGTAATGAAGCCTGAAATAAGGTCAGTAATAATAGTGGTGATAGTATCACAACAACAACAACAAGAAGAAGGAGAAGTAGTTGAACGCGGCACTCAGCCCCCACACACACGTTTATACTTATATATTCCCGTTTAGAATCTACAAATAATAATAATGAAAAGCCAGCTTTCGTGTTGAGTTCATAGAGCAGAATTGATGTGCTCACCATACGATGATAGCAACGAGGCTCATGGCCACGCATTCGAATTCTCAAAAACAGTGAATGGGAACGTCTGGGAATAAAAGGAGCAACGAAACGAAGCAGAATAAAAACGTCGGTGAATAATAAGAAAGAAGACGGAAGATGATAGACGAATTGAAGCAGGGTGTTTTTTTTTTGTTAATGCTGAAGGAAAACAAATAGAGATACGGCGTGTTTTGTGCTCGTGTGATGCTTGTAGGATATAAAGGTAGGTGGCGCAATGCCAATAAAAGCGCTGCACACAGAAAAGTGCGTAGAGCAAGCGGGTCGCGGTGTACGAGTGGCTTTTCTGTCTTCTCCCTCTTCGGACACACTTGAGAACAGCAGAGTCGAACAAAAACAAAACAGGCGATTCACGACCAATGCTACGTAGGCAGCACCAGAGGGAAAAGAAAAAAAAAGGAAGGAGAGGAGGGAAAAGAATGAACAACAACTCACTCCAGACTATCAAATGGTGACGAGCTATATATATATATATATACCACAGCAATGCGACGGCAGAGAAACAGAAAACACACAGTTTTGGGAGGTGGGATTTTCTGCTGGTGTGCTTGCTTTACTTGGTATGAGCAGAGAGAGACCCTCCAAGAACAAGTCGCAGCAAACAGGGAAAAAAAGTTTCCGTATGGATCCACGTCTTTTGCTGTTGATGACTTATAGGATACCAAGCGCCGCCGTCCACACCTCATTTTGCTTCGACGCACTCAGCAGCGTCTTTGAAGTAATAATCTCCGGCTTGACACCCGCACGACGCAGCGTCGCGAACATCTTCAGCGCCTCCTTGCTCTGCAAACACTGTCGCACCGGTGTCGGGCACTCCTCACAGCTGCTGAGCAGCTCCATCACCGGGGAGCGCAGCACGAGGTGAGACAGACGTCCGCTGCCCATCACGCCCTCCACGTAGGTGGTGAAAGGCACCACTAAGGTGGTCGAGCTGGTCAGCGACGGCGACCCATCCGCAGAGGCAAGCTCGACCGTTGCCGTCTCCATTTGCACAGGAGTCGGACAGAAGTGTTCCGCGGCCGCCTCACCCTCTCCTCCGTACGCCGCCTCACCGCAACTGCCCGCCTGCGCCGCCATTGCAGCGTCGTTCGCCGACACAGGCGCGCACGACGCCGGCAGACGCAGAGAAGTCGGCGTTGGCGTCCAGCCAAGAAACGGACGGGTGTGCGCCAAGACGTAGAAGCCGCGGTGGTTGCGCATGTCGCGCGCCTCGGCCAGCGAGTTGCTTCGTGCGTTCTCCACGTTGACCTGCACAATGTCGAAGCCGCTGAGAAGCGTGGCGAAGAAGTCCTCCAGCACGCGTTTCCCGCCCGGTGCCCCATTCACCTGGCAGGTGAAGGTGTTGCCGGGTGCGCAGAGCTCCGCGAGGTTCTCGTGAAAGCGGTAGACCTTCAGGTCAGCCCCGCGTCGTCCCACGGTAAACGGGCTCCACAAGCGCTCGACAGACTGCCGTAGAACATCATGGGTTCGCCGCTGGGCGGTGTGGTCCAGTGTGCTGAAGCGAGTCACGGGGAAGGCGCTGAGCAGCGCACCGGGCCGCGCAAAAGATCTCGGCATGCGTGTTCTGTTTGTTAGCTTGTCTGCTTTAGAAGACGGTTGAACGCAAGAGGCTGTCTGCCAAGGAAAGTAAAAAAGAGAGCTTTCCACGACGAGTCGTTAACGGCGTCGGATTGGCACAACCTCTCTTGGGAAAATAGTGTTGAACTTCGCTTTTCTCAAACTGCCGGAAGGGGAGAAGCGCGCAACACGTCGAATTGTAGATAAGAAAGGGAGAAAACAATGAATATATATATCAGCAAAAAAAAAAACAACCTGTAAGTATATACTTAGGCAGAAGTGCCAGCTTTAGAACTGAATTAGGAGGGAAAAGGGTATTTGAGAAAAGAAGAAGAAAAAACACTGCTAGGTGGCAGCGGGAAGGGCAGATACTTTTACAACAAACCTGCAAATTTTACTTTCCCTGCGGTGTCGACAAAGGATGAGAGAAAGAAAGGGAGAAGAAAAAAAGGCGAGAAGAAAAGAAGAGAAAGTGGAGGACAGCAAATCATTCCGGGTCGCCCTCCAAGACGATGAGTTACGTTTCCTTCTCCTTTTTACTTCGTCACATGCCGTTGCATCGTATCAAATAGGCCTCTCCAGAAGCGCTGGTTGTTGTTTCCGAAGTGCAGAAGTGATGGCGACTTAATGTTGGCGCCTTCGTCTACGATGGGGCTCATCCCAAACCGGAGCCACGAAGGCGATGCGGAGTACAACACTTCCGTTGCGCCGGTCGAGAAGTCATCGCTAACCCTTTCTCTCTCTTCTTTTTATCCGCGTTGTTAAATCCTTTTAATAGGTGATCTGTAGCGGCGTGTACTAAATAGGAAACACCACCGAACGAATGAAAGCGGAAGAACAAGCAAGAAAAGCCCACCCCTTAACACCACTCCACCTGCCGCGTGTACAGCAGCAACGGTCGATTGGTGTACGTCACACGATAACGCATCAGTTTGCTGTACAGAATCGAAATATACAACGCCCAACAGAGGCAGATCGCAAAATGCAGCTGAAACACCGATGAGGCGTAGTGGTGCTCGGAGAAGCACATCATCACGCTGTAAATGAAGGGGAGAATCCCCAGAAGCAGTCCATACATCACCTGCCGGTTCATCCCACTGAGGTCGCGCGAAAACGGGCTCTCGATGTCGGCGTTAAACACCTGCGGGTCGTGCTGCCGCGTTACAAGAGAGATGCCGTCCTGCTTGACACCGTCGAAGAAGTTCTGCTGATACCACCGACGCTGCGCCAGAACCCCCTCGACGGCTTTATGCGCCCAGTGATGATGTCCGTCCAGCATGTAGGGGACAAAGTGCGGCTCGGTGCCGGCGTAGAGCTGCGAGATGGCGGTCCCTTGTGCCGCCATTAGCATCCGCAGACGGTGCGAGGCCGCGGCGTAGGCGGGATGGTGAAGACACAAATCCACCCCGTCACCCGTCTTGCCGCTGTCGGACACCGTGCCGTTTAACTTCAAAGCGCCGCCATTCACGTATGCCATCATGCGCGGGAGCACCGCCGCGAGCAGGATGCTCTGCACCAGGTTCGTGCGATCGAGACAGTCCAGACAATTCACACGCACAAGTCGCGATTGCAAGTGGTCGAATCGGAGCCGTGGTGCAACAGTCGGGACGTCGCTCGGCCATGCGCTGCCGCCATCCTCCTCCGCGTCGTCCTCGTCGTCCGAAAACGCCCGTGCGGTGCCTTTCGTGAAATCCAGCCATGTGTCGGCGTCAGCTGCGCCATCCAGCTCCGCCACGCAGCGCCGCACCATCTCATCATAATCGTGCGTTTGCAGTTCTCGTTTCACGTTGAACTTCACCAACTTGACTGACGGATCGCTATCAGGCGTGTTTGCTGAGACCGCTACGCCGCCACCGTTCTCCTCCGCAGCCGCAGCCGCCACAAGGTGCGTCGCGTCCTTGTCGTCCATCATGAGACTGGCGGCAGGGGAGGTGACTTTCGGCGTGCCTTCGACATAGCGCCGCACCGCCGCGGCAAACCCCTCTGCGAGCGGCTCCTCCAGCGCCGACGTCGACATTGTGTCAAGACAGAAAAGGGTGTGCATCCACGGCAAGCACTGCTTTAGTAGACGAATGTGCCGGCCGAACTCCTCCGCTGCGTTCCCGACGGGCGATATTTTAATGGTGGGCTTCAGTGAAAGGTTGGCTGGCTGCTCCCACCGACGTGGAACGGAGCCGCGCATCACCGTGTACACCGCAAAGGGTGCGGCAGGTCCAGACGCCTCGCTGTCTTTTTCTTCTTCCGCAGGAACAGCTGCTTCACGTGAACGGGGGGTCACCCAGAGGGACGTCATGGACATGTTCGCCACCACGCCGCTGTGCCCGGGCTCGAGGCCGCGCCGGTTGTACCGCGTGCCCGCCCAACGGCAGCACGTGCAGTTGAGAAGGGTCATGGCCAACGTCGGCGACGCGTCGGCCTGCGCGACGAGGCCGCGGATAAAGGAGGGCAGGTACAGCGGCACGGAGGAGGGCGACTGCGTAGGGGCAGCTGTGGCGGCCGTCGTGTTGAAGTTGACGTGGTGGTCCACGTGGTTATGATGCCCCGACCGTGCGTCTCGTTGCACCTCCTCCGCGCAGACGCCCCGCCACGGCAACGCGGCTGCCTCCTCCGCTGCCCCTTCCGACACGTCTGTGTTGCCGCCACGGTAGCCGGCGTAGAACTCGCCTCGGAGGGCGGCCATGGAGGGGAGAGCCAAGCCGTCGGATAGGAGAGGTCCATTCCACTGGTAGAGCTGGCGTGCCGTCGCGGCCGCGCGGAGATCTTCCCAGGCGTGGTGGTTACCCGTGGCGTTGAAGCCGTGCCACAACACTTTCGTCGTGTCGACCAGGTTGGAGTACATGTCACTGCCGCCGTTTTCGTGGTTGGCGGTGGAGGAGAGCGAGTTGTCGTCAACCTCACCCTTCCCGGCGGGGCTGAGAGCAAGACTCGGATGGAGAGTGTGGGTGATGAGTCCTAGCAAGTGCACCGGATCCGCGCTGAGATCCAGCGTGGAGGAGTAGTACAGATATGAGAATTTCTCCGCGGGTCCGATGATCCCCGGCAGCTCGGACGCCGTCGCGGCTTCTCCTTTCGCATTCGCAGCGCGTCGCGTTTCGGCGTGCTGCCCGCCATCCTGCGTGTTCACGGACTCACAAAAACGGTGCAGAACGGCGAGGTAGTCGTTCACGGTTTTGCTGGGAAGGCGACCGACCTCCTCCGGCGCATCATCCTCCGCGTCTTCCGCGTCGGTGTCTGTGGCAGAGGACTCCCCTTCCTCCTCATCGGCGCCGCTCTCCGAGACATTGGAGCCGCGACTCTCGTTCCCTTTCGCCTTGCCGCCTCCACGTGGATCCGCAGCGTCAGCGGCGGCGTCCCTTTCCGATGCGCCGTCGCTTGCCGCACTTCGACCACCGCCATCGCCGCCGCCGCGCCGGCCGCGTGGGCGCCGCTCCCGCCGTCGACGCTCCCGCTGCGACAGCGCTGTAGAGGTCACACCGGGTAAATTGAGCCACTGCAGTCCCCGTACCGCGTAGACCTCGTGCGTCGCCCCGCCGAGGGACAAGGTGCACACGTACTCCTTCTCGGTCACGTAGATCAGAGCGGAGTTGACGGAGCCGAGCGGGAGGACGCCATAGAGAGCCTCGCAGGGCAGGTAGCAGCTGAGCGAGGCCGCGATGGACTGCTGTTGGACGGACTGCAGGTGGTACAGCTGGGAGCACGCCTGCGCCAGTTCGGTGATAGAGGCGCGCAGCTCCACATCCTCGCTGTTCGCGCTGCTCAAGTACTCAAACCGCTGCTTCTCCGCCATCCAGCGCAGCGGAGGGAGGGAGGGCTCATCGGGCAGGTAGTACACACGGGACGCGTTGAGGAGGATTCGGCCACAGTGTGACCAGCTCGCAGACGACATCGCGGGGTGGGGAGAAGAAAAAAAAAAGGTCGCTAGAATCAAACACAAGAGGGAGGCAAAAAGTCAGCGTATTGTATCAGGGGTAACTTGTGTAGAAAGTAATAGCGTGGTCGTATTTGCAGGCGTGTATGCCGTAGACACACCGAAGGAGACGTGGCGACTTTGATTATTGTCTGCTAAGTGGAGCTAAAGCGACACTTAACTTGATAATATGGGTGCTTTTTAGTATTTGTTATTCCGTTGCCACTACCGTACGTGTGTGTGTGTGTGTGTGTGTGTGTGTGAATCTACCAGGGCGACAAAAGAGACAACAGAAAATGAGAGAAAAGAAAATGGGTTTACCACCGTGAGTGTACGTGCGAGCTAGTCCGCGTTTGTCCAATACACCGGCAGATTATAGGCGAGGAGGGGGAGGGAATAGGTGCCCTTGCCCCACGCAGGCTAGAAACACTGTGCAACGTCTCTCCCTCCCTCTCCCTCTCTCTCGTTTACTCTGCACATCGATTGTCGGTCACGTCAACAGCTCAACACGCGCACCCGCTCCGTCTACGCTTGACCACTGATACAAGCCACAATTGTTAGTGACCTATTTTTCTCCTTTTCTTTTTGCACGACGATCCATAGACACAGGAAGTATGACTTCCTCAAAAGGAAAAAAAAAGACGCAAGCGGGCATGCACCTACACGTAAAGTATTAAGTGGAAAAGAGGAAAGAAGAAGGAAGAAGGGGAAAAAAGAACCATAGCACAGTACAAACAACGTTCTGTGACAACTTGATACGCATACCCGTTTGCCACCGACACACACCCACACACTCAACGGCGGGTGAACACGCCATATCTTTTGCTCTCAAGCAGTCGAACCCGTTAATGAAGAAGCAAACGAAGCAAATAAATACACAAACAGGCAATAATAATAAAAGCACGTATCATAAAGCAGAAAGCACTTCACAGGTAAAAGTTCAGGTGTTTGAAAACACACAAAAAGCAAACATATATATAAGCATGAAAGCGAAGGTTCGCCTGCATCGCGCACCCCCACTCACGCACACAGTTTTGATGGCTGCCAAAAAAAAGGAAGAAAAAGGTTTTCTTTATATTTCTAATGACATCTTAAAAATAAAAATACAGAAAGAACCGACCGCAAAAACAGCGCGCTACCAGCAGCGCTGCTTTTAGGCAGATCGCGGTGTTGACGAACACTTTACTTGTCCTTTTGACAGTCTTTCTTCACTCACCATACCAGGTAGGCGTTTGATTAGCAGGGCGCTGCCTGTCGTCGGTTGTTGAAATCCAACCAGACGCAGCAGCGGAACGGACAACGAATGCTAACCGTTGCACCTAAAGCCAAAAAAAAAGAAGCAGTAAAGCCGTCTTCTCATTTGCACAATCACATTTGCCGACACAGAAAATGAGAGCATTTTTTTTTTTAAGAGAGGGGCAGAGAGTACGGCGCCAACTCACTCTACTTCACAGCAAACGAAAGAAAAGCAGAGAAAAAAAAAGAAACGTGTTCCATTGGATCGGTCGACTGGGCATGCAAACAAAGCGAGTCGGTTCTACAAGAGAGGAAATACGCAGCGAAAACGACAACAGAATAATCGACTTCATCGACGGATAAACGACTAGTGGTCAAAGACAATTCAAAAAAAATGCTGCTGTGCTCAGAGCATCGATTCTGAGCCAGTTACAGGATGCGAAAAAAAAGAACAGGGGAAGAAAAAGAGAAAGCGAGACCCCGACTTGGGTAATATCTCTGGAAAACGGTATATAGCTTGATATATACAAATATATATAAAAGAAGATAAAAATGTTGAGGACTCACACGAGCAGACGTTACTACTCCGTTGCTTTGCAAAACACTGCAATCATTATATATTTTTGTCGCTGTGTTTTGGTTTCTTTGCGCGCTTGTCTCGTTGTAACCCTTTTATACCACAGGATTTGAACACACATGCACAACCAATTGCGCATACCACTGGCTCCCCGTGTCCCTCAAGGGACGACCAGGTCCCACTTATTCACTCCACACACCCTCCAAAAAAAAAAAGGGGGCTAAGAGAAGAAGCATTGCTGCGTATTCCAATGTCCTGGGGAGGTCACACCAATTCGCAGGCGCAAATGTGTTGGGAAGACCAGGAAACGCCCACGAAAACACACACGTGAGAGGAATAAGAATAATAAAAACCCAAAAGCAAAACTGCTTCTTCTTTTTGAAGTTAAAGGAAAACAGAGAAGCAGGAGAAAGTGAAACGAGGAACAAAACGGGAGTCAATTTTTCCGCGCCGCGCCCACAGGGGAGAAAGGAAGAGAAGGCCGCAGTGGGTCGAAGGATGAGAAAGAAAAAAAAAGAAAAAAGGAAACAAGAAAATGCCAACGGCGGCAACAAAAGAAGAGCACATTGCGATGCGCCGTTTGCGAGAGGAAACACAAACACAAACAACAACAGCGCTGATGAGGAATACACACACAACAGCGGTTCTCCGTACACAAAATTAAAAGGGAAGAAAGAAAGGGGATAATGGTTGGGAATAGAAGATGAAAAATACCATTGCGATTTGTAAAGGAAAGAAAGTTTCAAAGGCTCTAAGAAAAAGAAAAAAGGGTCGCCTTTTCGGTTAAATCGCATGTGTTCCTTGAGGAAAAGAACGAAAAAAGGAGAACGTGGAAGAGAGACAACCCACACACATATATAAGGAGCCATCAATAATGAGAATCAGAAAAGTTGAATTATTCACCTGCACCATTACGAAGAAAGATCAAAGCCAGAACGTGTAGGTTGCAGGTGACAAAGCTATCTTCCATACATGAACACACACATCGAAGAAGACCCGCCACGCAGCAGCTCGTAAAAGGAAGAAAAACGAGAAAAAAACTGACGATTCCGAGGCGCTTCCTCTTCTTTCTACACCTTCTCAAATTCAGTGTTACGTCGGCGCAGCTCTCGCTTGGTTTGCGGGGCACGCTTGCGGTGTTTGTCGTGCACTTCGCTGTCGTCCTCGGCCCCCTCCGGCGTCTTGGCGCTCGGACTCCTGTCGTGAGACGCGCACCTCGCAGCCCTTGACGCTGGAGTGGACGACCGCCTTCCGGCTACGTTAGCGGATGTGCTCGGAACCGGACCGTCACGTCCTGATGTGCCGTTCGTCTGCGGCTTTCGATGGATGCTGCCGGCCCGTACGAAAGAGGTCCTCGCACGCAGGGCGGTGGCGTCGTTCACCACCATCATATTGGGCGGCCGAGCAGAGGCCACACGGCCCCCGCTCACTGTTGGACCTTGAGACGCGTTCAAACCGGCGACAGATGGCAAGGTGGCACCGAAGTCGAAGGTGGCGTGCGAGTCGAAGGCGCCACGAAGGACGGAGTAGCCGGTCGACGACATCAAACTGCTGTTGACGGTGTGGGTGCTCCGCCGCGCCGTGGACGGCTCCTGCTCACTCACCGGAACCTCGACGTCCTTGTGGGAGGCCTCGCCCCCCACGTGCCCATCACCAGCGCCGTTATTGACCTTGTCCTTGCCACTATAGTTGGTGTTGTTGCTCTTGTGCGTGTTTGTGGACATCAGCGGTAGCGTCGGCAAGTCTATCTGCTTCGCTGGTTCGTTGACGGGTCTTGGTCTGGTGGAGCACCTCGAGAGTTCTCGTGACACCGCGGTGGCTCTGCCTGACGACGCCGTAGCGTTCACCCGTGTCTTCGTAGCGCTGCTGCCGGTAGAGGGTACGGATGCGGTTGTGCCTTCTGCCTGCGACACCGTGCGAGAGCGCGAGGCCGGTTGTGGTGCAAGTGCTGTGGCAGTAGCAGCCCCGCTGCCAGCGGCTGCCAACAACGACGGCTTCACTGGTGCTACCCGTCGTGCTGCGTCGAGCTGCCGTGCCGTCGCTAAAGCAGGGAGGTCCTGCTTCACCGCGAGTGGTGCAGCGACTTCGGTGGAGTACGACTTGCGAGGGGAGAGAACGCTCTGACGATGCCCTGGCGCTGAAGTGGCAGCAGCAACGGGGACCACGTCGCGAAGAGAGGTCGGGATGTGCTGTCCGGCCGGCGCTGAAAACGGCAGCGCGGATTTCGAGGGGCTCGAGTCCGTTGGGGAGTTGATGCCGCTGGTGCTCTCGCAATCGCTGTCCAGCGACGGCGAGGACGACTTCTTGTTGTTGACATGCCTCCACGCGTGTGTGACAGGCGTCTGTGCGGGCTTGATGGTTGCTGAGGTGGTGGTGGTGGTCGCCGTTGTCGGCGATGGTGGAGGGGGAAGAGTGGCAGCAGCCTCCGTCGGTACCACCGTGGCCGCCAACGCACGGGGCGGCTCGTCCACGTCGTTCATCGAAGGCGAGAGGCGATTCGGTGTGCCGTTGATCGACTTCGACATTGTCGCACTGGGCAGAGTGACGTGACGTGGGTTAGTGCGGAGCTGCCCAAGCGTGCGTGTGGGCGGTGGGCGCTGTCGATTACTGCTGTTGCTGCTGCTCGCCTGGGTACTGCTGTCGCTGCAGTCGTTTGTTCCATTACTCGCGGCCTTTAACGCGGGACCACGCTCCGGTGCGGCGTCGCGCATCACGCGCGCAGAACTAACGGCGGCAGTGATGGTGGTGTTGTTCGGTGCCTTGTGCGCCGGCTTGCTAAGGTCGATTTCGAGGTTCAGCGGAGACGGCCCACCGAGGCTCTCCGTGGCGAGGTCGTCGTCGATGGCTTGGCACTCGAACGTATGGATGTCCACGGTGACTTTCGGGCTCGCGGAGTTCCGTGCGCTTTTCTTCGGTGGGACACGGCCGCGGTGGCGCACCATAGCAGCCGGCAGCTCGCGTTTTTTGCCGTCCAGAAACTCGGGTACATCCTCCACGATCTCCTCTCCTTGCCACTCTGGGAAAGCGCTTGTCATACTGGAAAATGGAGTGAATACACTAACGTGTCTCTGGTCAGCTCTTAAAGAGGAGGGGAGGGGGAAAGAATACAAGTCTGCTGTACGCTCAGCAGCACCAACACTCGCCGAGTACGTGCAAACAGTGACGTGAGAGCGCTGTGTGTGTGTGTGTGTGTGTGTGAGTGTGTGTATGAATAACCCTGTTTTTGTTGTGGGCCCCTCTAAATTGCTCTTTTCAAGAACGCTATTTTCCCCTTTGTTTTTGAGTCCGGAAAAAAAAGAAAGAAAAAAAAGAATGTGCGCTTATGGTCAATGAAGTCAGTTGAAAATATCACAAAAGCAGTGAATGGAGATGTTGTACACACTTCAATTCAAAGAAACAGAAAGGAAAAAAAAGAGTTTCTCTGTTCGCACTTTATCGAAGGTAGGATTTATGGAGCGTTTGAAGCAGCCTCCCATGTAGGGGTGGCAACAACACGAGGAATGCGTACGTACTCCACGCAAAATAGCAGTCGTTGAGAGTACGCGGCTTTCGACTTCGTTGACACGAATCCAACCCGAGCAGAAACGCCCTGCCGTGAAAATGCTGCTGTTTCCTGTCGCGAAAGAAAAACGGCTGCTGAGTGCGTAGTGCAAAGTTGACGTGAGGATCTACTGTGCACAAGTCAACAATAATAACAATAAACACACACACACGCAAACACGCCAATAGTAAGGGGTACGTACTGTTTAGTGCGCAGTACTCTTCTTAACTCTTCGCCGTTATCATTGTGAATAATAATACCAGAAAGAGACGGTAGAGTGTGCAAAAAGGTGATAGATTGAAGTCAGAGGAAACACAAGAAGAGTACGAAAATGGTCCTTCTTAATGAAACACCTTATCATCGAAAGCAGAGGCGCGCAGGACGGGCGAATACGTATGACGTTCATGCGAGGAGCTCCCCGTTTCCGCACGAAGCAGCCGAAAAAGAATAATAATGGTAATACGGAGAAAAAAAAACATCTGCTGAGGCGTAGAGAACAAAAATCACTTGCGTTACGCTCGGGACTGCATCAACGCTAGTTGAACACCCTTCAGGTTCTGAGAATGTGGGTACTATCTCCTTCCTCGTACTTTTCTTTCGTTGTTGTTTCTTCGACCAACGTGTGGTCGAGGTCGAAGTGAGGTAAGAGTGAAAGCAGCGGCCGAATATCACCACTGCAAGCGAGTGCAAACGATTGAAAAAGGGGGCTTTTGTATGTCTTCGCAGATTTCTTTCCTTCTCCCAATCTTCCCAGTAGCACCAAACATCGCACGTAACTTGCCGAAGAGGTCAGGTAAACACGACGGAGACGAAAAGAAGAAAGAAAAAATAATAATGAGTTGTAACTTGACAGCGCATCATCTTGCGCAGCAGTTTGAGAAGGCAGAAAACGGGAAACAAACAAAAAAACAAGATATGTGGTCGTGTAAACGCGCGAGAGAAACACACGTGCCAGGATGAATGAGAAACGAACCGCACGCATATGGATGTTCGCAACAAAGCAATCGAATGGCTTTCATTTGCACATTTAATTCGAGTAGAATGAATAACGAAAAATTGTCCAAATCATGAAACAAAAGCAGGCTGGAGAAGAAAACACACATAGCAGCAGTAATAAAGATGCACCGGAGCTGTTTCAAACACCTAGTCAGTGCATTTTTTTAAATTTTCTTTCGTCTGAAGACTAGAAAAGAGAAAAAAGAAATAGTACATGCGGAAACTCCCAGGAGAGTACTCAACTATATATATTTGTGTGCAAAACAACAACAACGATAACGATGAACGGGCGCACCCTAACCCGCCGACAGGGTGGAACGGATGAAAGCTTTAAAACGGGGGAAAAGCACTGCGCTGATAAAGAGAGAGTATATAAAAACGGTGGTGAAGAAAACATAACGAATGAAAACCGAATGGCTTCCGAGAACACTTCGAACACTCTACGAGAAGGTCGAACGCAGTTCCAGAAAAAGAAATAATAACAATAATGCTCGCAAGGCAGTAACCTGCCACAAACTATCCTTTCCCATACACATGATTCAAATAAGGAAGGAAGGAAATCAAAAGGAAATAAAACCAATGATAGCGACAGCAGCCTGGCAGAATCTTTATAATGAAAGCCCACAAAAACCTGAACCTACGCAGGGCGTCCGCGATTTCTTCCACCGTAAAAGCAAGGAACGATGCTTTCCTTTCGATGGATACCACAACATTCGGCACGCGTTCCAACTCGCAGGCAAGGCCTTCTGCTCACCTCTTCGCGTGAATGGTCTTGCTACTCTCAGGATAATAAACACGCGTGGCGTCCAGCATTAACGGCTCCATCAGGTCCTCGCTGCCGTCCGAGTCGGTGCCGGCGTCAGACGGCTCGGGCAGAATAAACCGCGCCGACTGCGGCGAGCACTCTGGCGTATGCGGACTCTCCCCTGTCGTGGGCGGCCCGGCGCTCCAGAAACGATTATGCGGCACCGCGGAGGAGGACGCGTCTTTCCTCCCCAGCGACGAGGGGGCTGATGGGGTCTTGGACGCAGGGGGAAAGAACGCCGAGTCCGCGCCGTCACCTTCGCTGCTTTTGCGATGGCTGCCATCTCCCGTCACGTCACTGCTGCCCGCGAGGAGAGAACCGTTTATCTTGACGTGCAAGTCGCCGGCCCGTCGCGCAAAGTTCGGGATGGATGTCTCTTCCTCCGAGGGGAGAAGGTAGTACTGCCGTCGGACGGAATCGCTCATGCTGCCCCCCTCGACGTCCAGCAATGAGCGGCGGCGCTGCGCCTTTTTGATCTTATTCAAAAAATCCGCATTAATGGCGTTCAAGTCCATCGGGACACCGTCTTGCCGCGCGTCAGCCGAGCCTCGACTCGGACTACCGGTATCGTTTCTATCGCTGGCACTCGTCTGCACGAGGTTGGGGGCGCTGGCCGTGCGCACCGCCACAGGCGTCGGTACCACTGCCCTCCGCTTCGGCGCGGGAGGCGGTGCAGACGAGCGATGAAACGCTGCCGTTTCCGGTCGAGACACCTGCGTAACGGTGGTCCGTGTAGCAGTCGCGAGGCGACTGCTGGGTGCGTTGTCGGCCATCAAGCGCAGCGTGACCGACGGTGAGGCGGCAGGCGTGGAGGACGAGAACGACGCCGACGAAGATGAACGTGACAACACGCTTACAGCACTGGGGGCTGCAGACGCCAGGAAGGCGCTCAACACCGTCCCTTTCGGACTTGCAGGGACCTGCCAATTTCCTCGCCCATTCACACCCGTACCGCTGGTCGTCGGTGGCACCCGCAGACCAAAGCTGCGACCGGCCGGGGACGGACTTGGTGACGGCGCCTCCTTTGTGCTGTTACTGCTCTTGCTGTCGCTCGTCTTTCCGCGCAGGCCGAGCAGCGGCGGGGAAGGCACTCCTGCCCGTGCAGCCACCCCCGTTGTGGTTCGTGAGCCGGCTGCAGTTGTAGTGGTGGCGGAGGGGCGACGCACACGCGCAGGTGACGAGTTGCGTCGCCGCACCACCATTTGCTGCGAGACGTTGCTGCTGTTGAGGTTGTCGCCGCTGCTGCCCTGCCCATTCAGCATCGGTAGCGCCGGGACCGACGTCTGCGAAGAAAGCGAGCTCGCCGCGCCAACGCCGCGAGAAATGGGTGAGGGTGGCAGCCCGTTGCCTTCAATCGCGGACAGCTTCGCAGGGGATAAAGGGGCTATGAAGTCCGGCAAGTCCGACGTTCGGCGTCGCCCCCGGGTAAAGGAAGCACGACAACCTGCATCTGCTTGACTGCGAATGTCTCTATTGCCGGCATTACACAAGTCGAGTCGATCGGTCCAGTGTTTTTTTCGCCCCTGGTCGACGGCGCCAGCACAAGATGGGGACTTGGTGATGTGGAAGCTGGCGGGGGTATGCGGCGGCCGCACTTGGGGCGAAGGATGCACAGGCTGCGGCGCACCACCACCGGCAGAGTCGAGAGGCCAGCAGGCCGGGGAGCGTGAGTCCGTGATCGCTGCTTTCTTCGGTGCGCACATGTTGAAGGCAGAAGCAGGGGGAGACACAGGCAGCGCGGAATGCGCGACCTTCGACGTGTCTGCAGGTGTCGTGGACGTCACGGCTCCGCTACAGGCGCCAGGCTGCAGACTGCGGCAGTTCGTGCCGCTGCGGGGCGACGTGCCGGGCTCCGATGCGGGAGGGGCTGGGACGCGCGTTGCCCTCGTGAGGGGCGGAGGGGTGGAGAGAGGAGAAGGCGAGGCGCTCGCGGCTGGGTTGGTGCTTTTCGGTCCGTGGACGTGGCCATTGCGATCTCCATTACCGACGTGGCGTCGCACTGCGCTCCCCGCTGAATGGTTGTCGGATACAAAGCGATTTGACAGCGGAGGACGTCCGCTTCCACCGCCAGCGCTCTTTGCGCCAGAAGCCGAGCCTGCGTTGGGGGACGGCTGCGGTGGTCGTTCTCGCGGGGACTGAACGGCAACGGGAGCCACGTGGTCGTTGTCCTCCACAATGCCACGTCCGAGGTACGCCATCGAGTCGATGCGGCAAAACTGAGGTTGAAATGCGGCTTTGCTCACGTTCGTGTCTCGCTGCGCGCGACGCCGCTCAAGGTTCTCCGGATTGAACGGACTTGCAGCGAGGAACTCATCACCGCCCGTGCTGTCCGCCAGCGAATGGAAGCTCTCCGCTAATGATGAGCGTCCCGAACGGATCATTTTTTATTATTATCTCTTCTTCCTTTACAGTTGACGGAGATGCACGTATATGGGTGAAAACAATGACGACGTTGGTAATAATAATAATAATAATGGAAGCTCAACAACGGGACAGCAAACACACCAAGAAATAGACACAAAACTGGAAACCACCTCCACCGGAAAAGAAGCAAAAGCAGCTTTTGAAAACAAAGTGCTGGAAGTCAGTAACAACAACAATAACGAAAAGACATTAAAGAAAGAGCAGGCAAGAACGAAAAAGAATGGAATTGTTGACTAGCAAAAGAATGCAGACGTGCGTAAGAAGAAGTAATAAAAAAGAAAGTGCTGGAGAGGAATAACACATCAAAAATACTAAAACGAAGAACAACGAAGGGCAACGCAATATATATATATAAAGATGCATGTGTGTGAAAGAAGTATGTATGACAAAGAGGATGTGAAAGAGCGCAACACAAATGTATTTACTGCTCTTCTTTACGCAGTGAGTGCCTTAAAAGTGAAGGGGCAAACTATTCAAATAGTGGTGTACGAGCAGCTCTTTCTCTCTCTCTGCTTTACCGCGTGCTCTTGATCACAGCACACAACGGAAGAATATATATATATATATATATCCGTGTGAATGCGGAACAACGACGATGAAAGAAGACAAAGATCGAACAGAGAGAGAAGAAAAAGGGAAAGGTGAAGAGAAGCACAGAGAAGAACGCAGTTTTGAGTTTTGTCACCGACACACCGGCGCGGAAGCGAGGTAAGCTCCCTGTGTCCTTCTCCCATTCCGCTTTTCTTCATAACGCACAGGACGGCTATCACGATACACGTGTTTTTTGTTTCCCTCCTTGTGGTATGAGATGACACCAGTGTAAACCAGCACTTTTTCGACCTTTTTTTCCTCTCGCAAAACAACGTTTTAGGGTCATTTGAGTTTCATACATGTTGCTGATATGTGCTGCACTTGAGCGACGAGCAATAAATGATAGAAACGATTTGACCGTAAACTTCTAAAAGGAGAAAAAAAAAGAATGCTGCCAACGAGCCGGTGGACGAAAAAAAAAAACACAAAAAAGCAAAAAAGTGAGGCAATGAAAATAAATCATTCCATTCTTTTCGTAAACTATCAAAAAAAGGGTGGAGGAAGAGGACGGCTACGCGGTATTCGGGAAAGACCACCTAAACGGTACATTTCTAAGAGCATCGATATAAGGGGCAAAGCGAAGAGGGGGGAAGAAAACCAAAAGAAAAACAGCACCACGAGTTCGAGGTCTACGTAACACTGCATGTCGCGCACGGATTCAACGTACGGAACACACACGCGCATACATCAAGAGAAAAAAAAAAGCAAAGAAGAACGGGAAAATGAAGATGACAGCGATAAAAATGATTGACCGTCCGGAGAGCGTTGATCTTTGAATTGCAGTTCGATGGAGAAGAAAGGCGCGACCTTCAGATCGCCATTGGCATCATCATCGCTTTCTGCGGATAGGTACGCAATTTTCCTCACGGTGTTGCCGAAACCGATGGACGCCTCGACTTTCTATCGCCCCCGAGCCCTGCTGGAAGGGTCCCATCTTCGCGTGCATGAAGACACCACGCACCCAACGCGGCCAAACTCCTTCAAGCACTCGTCTCATCATCGTGATCATGGATAACCATCACCAGATTGCGTAGACAGTGAACGTTCATCAACGACTTCACCACCTCACAGAAGGACGGCGTTTTCTTGGCCTTTATGAAAACCCGCTTCTCAACAGTGTTGACAGCAAACGAGAGGCTGCGGTCGCTCACCTGCAGTTCACTGAGGAAGTCGTTGCGCAGCTGTACCTGCTGAACAGCGAGCGTGTCGTCCACCAGCCGTACACGGTTTTTCCACAGCTGCAGAGCGCGTGTATAAGGACACGACGAGGTCTGCTGGGTCATGACACTCGACGAGCTCAGCATCGCGTCGGTTGGGAAGGAAAGATCCAACTGCAGGCGGGGTACGGATGCAATACCTGCATCTCCCTTCTTCTTCAGCACGCACTGCACAAAGAAGGAGCTGCTACCAATAGAGAGAAAAAGAGAGGTCAACGCAGCCTTCGACAACCCCCCGTTGGGGCCTGCCATACAGAACCTGTGATACGCTTCAGCAACGGCGTCGCCAACGGCAGACGCCAGGGCCATCTCCACGAGATAAACCTCTCCCCCAGGAGCAGGAGCCGTGCTGTTGACCGCGTCGCTCTTCGGCCGCAGAGAGGTCAGGTAGACCCAGCGACACTCGCGCGAAACCGTCAACGCCGTGCCGGCAACGTCGCGGTGAAAATTGCCGGTCTGCGGTGCGGCATCCGCGGCAGCCCCAGCAGGCGACGAGCGAAGCGGCGGACCACGAAAAAATTCGGTGAAGTTGTCCTGTGTGAAAAACAACGTCATCTTCTTTGCAGAGGCGAGCGGTGCCGCGCCCAGCCCCGCAGTCTCATCGGCGGCCTCTTCCACGGCAACAGCAGCGGCTGCGTCACCGTCTTCTGCTCCGTCGACATCGTCTTCCACTGCGTCGTGCAGCGGCGTCTCATCGCCGTCGGCCGCGGCTGTCACTGGCGAAGCGGCGTCTGTCTTGTCAGCCACAGAAAACACAAGTTTGATCGGCACGGACGTGGACCTCGCTGGGAAATTCACGGGGCGCCGCGGTGCCTTCCCTTGCTTTGACGATGGCGGCGGACAAGAAGGATTCCACGCCCTGTCCAACGCCCCGAACAGACGATCCTTCTGGTTGGACGCTTTGCCTAAATCGGCGATGTTCAACTTTGCCTCCAACACGAAGAGCACCTGCCGGGACTGCGCATCGTAGACAACCCCGTCCAGTTCGCCATCAGTGCGTGGCATCCACAGAAGCCCGGCGTCGTCCCAGTCATAGTGCACGTTGCGCACCAGTCGATACTGCGGTGGGGCGACGTTTGGTGCCGCTGTCGCCGGCCTCGTCCAGACGGGCATGTCAGCCAACCCAGCCACCGCGTCCGCCGCGTCGGGGCTGTCGCTGGTGCTGTCCTCCTTCGCAGACATCGAGGTGGGAGGGATGCGCAGGCACGCCAGCACCCACGCCTGTGCCATCGCCTCCTCGCAGCCCGTCACCGCGCAACAGTGCGGAACAAGCACCTGCAGCACCACGTCGCGCAGCTCCGCCTCAAACATCTTCTCCTCAAAGAGGACACCGTTCAGTCGCTTTGTGGTGCCATCGATCACGTCCGCCTCGTGTGCGAGGAGGTCTGCTTCCTCCAAGCCGTACAGCTGCAGCAGGTAGTTCATCGCGTTCAGATCGGGGGCCAGAAGGCTGAACTGATCCACTATGTGAATAAAACTTGTCAGGGCACCCTCGACCATAGCTCTGCCACCGCCCGATGTGACCACCTGCAGCAACACGGCGGGCGGAGGGGTAAGTTTAGGTAAAGGGCTGCCTCTCTTTCTTTTGTCTTCGCGACGTAAGCTTGCGCAGGACACGTAAATAGTTTGTTGCAAACGACGACACAAGCAGTCCAAAGCGCTGCCTCGCGTCGCGGACGCGTGTGTCGCCGCGCACAGCCGAATGCGCCCACCGACGTCGGTCAAGTACTCCACCATCGTCGCCATTGGTGTTGCCTGCAGCTCTTCGACAGCGCCGACGATGTCGAGAGACGTCTGAGACCAATTCTTCACCAGAAGGGCCGCATACTCCGCATCACGGAGAGCCAGCTGCGCCGCACATACCGTGCGGATGCAACCGGTCAGCCCCGTAAACACCGTCATCAGCGCTCTCGCAAAAGGGGTGTTCTTGTCTTTGGCCATGTTATTCCGCTGTTGCAGCAGCTGCATAGCACCGTAGTAGCGCTGTGAGGCGATGAGCTGAAACGCCTCCGCCACTTTCTGCACCGTGTCCCCGCCACACCGTCCCTCCATCGCTGCTCGGCCACGGGCGTACACGCTTTGCGGGGAGTAGAAGGGCAGATTTCGCGAGAAGAGCTGCGCATCGTGCGCAAACACTACAAAGCGAAGCTCGCGCAGCAGCAGCATCACCATTTTGAGGTACCTGCCGTAGGTGGGTCGCGTGATGGTGTGCGCGATGCGTCGCGCGTATTTCAGCACCCGCACCGTTTCCTGTCGTCCCATCTCCGGTGAGAAAAACGGTGAGTTGCTGCAGCTTGCAAACTCGACAGTGGAAACGTTGGTGAGGAGACGTTGCAGCGCAAGCCGCTCCGCCTGCGCGTCGACGGCTTTCAGCGGAATGCAGTCGCTTTCATTCGGCGACGTGCGCTCCAGATCGGCCTTGTACCTTTCAAGGAGACTCGACAGCGTCGACACCGGGAGTTCATGCAGCGCCACAATTCCGGCGGGCATTAGGAAGAATCGAAAGGCTAAAAAGAGTGGGGGAAATGAAAACGGTACCGACAAAAACACTCTAAAAAGGAGTGATTGCAGCAGAAACGTTAAAGAAACGCGTACATCCGCATACTGAATACGAAAGAAAAGGTAAGGTTAGGGAGAGGAAAACGAGACGGCGAGAAGGAAAGCTAAGGCTGAACAGCTCATCATTCGGAAACAACTCCCGCCAACGTATGTAAGTAACGCCGCGCATGCTTCAACAGACTATCAGCCCGCACCTCGACAGCAGCCAACAGGTTTATCAGAACCATCCAAACTCAACGAAACAGCAGTGAACATTTCCACTGGTGTCACAAAAAGACACCAGATCAAACACGCGATGGTTGACAGCTGCAACTTCAACACTTTCCTTCAACATTAGAAGGAAACGATTCGATCACAAGCAATGAACCCGGGAACCCGGATGCGCGTAACACTCGCGTTAAAAAAGCAATTAAAGAGACAGTCCTCTTTCGTTTGTCGCTCCACGGAAAACAGAAATCAAGAAACAGAAGCAGAAACCACTGCACTCCCTCCCACCAGCTGCACGCCCTTTCCTGCACACAGCCCGTGGAAGCGCTACCGCACCGTCCACTCAAACTGCCGCATCCGGGGTACGAACAACAACAAACAGTTGAATCAACGCCACATCCAACGCACCCATACCCAGACAGACCACACACATGCTCGCTACCTCAGTCGCAGGACGCGCCGGCTGGAAATATTTGGCACGTCCCTTGTTGGTGGAACACTTGACTTCAATCCATGGTCGGGATGTGTTGTGTCATAAGACCGTCGTAAGTGGGTTTCTCATCAGTGGTAGAGCGCACACACACACACAAGCAGCAGCAGCAGCAGCAGCAGCGCCGTTCGCAGCGCGCAGCTCTTGGCCCACGTGAGTGTGCAGACAGGGCCACGAGGGGTGGGCCGAGACACAACTCCAATGTGGGCCGCGTACGGTACGGGGAAAGCGAAGCAGCGGCGGCGCGGACGCCAGCCAGCAGGCGAGGAGGAGGCGCAATCAGTGCAGGTCTGTGTTTGGGTGTCCTCAAGGGGGGTCTGATGGTCAAACAGTTATGCATCACGCGCGCAACGTCCTCGGCTCGCCTGCTCGCTCGCTCGGCGCGCCTCTCTCTCTCCCTCCCTCGGTCCTCCGCCCAGCGTCGGGCCACACGCACACGCAGACACACAAAGCACACGGCAGCGCCACACGCACCCTCAGCCCCGAAAGGTGATTAGTAAACTCAGTGATCATCAAGACATCCAGTCAGCAAAGGTTTGGACCATGAGAATCGCTGTGCATCACGCAGGCACGGCAGCGGCAACGGCGGCGGCGGCAGCGCGCACGTCAGAAGTCAAACAGATCAAGAAGCATTCTCAGCAGCAGGGCTCAGCTGAAACACGGATTCGACAGTTTCATCACCCGCACGCGCGCCGCACAAACAACTACACACGCACCCACACACACACACAGCAGCAGCAGCAGCAGCCGACACAGGCACCGGCAGCGCACGTCAGACGGGGAAAGAAGAATTCCAACACGATGTTATCGATCACCAGCAGGTCAGAGACTCCAGTCGGTTGATGTCATCATGTACGCTTGCACGGCACGCAGCGGCGGCACAGTCGCGATCTCGAGGCGCACCAAGATGGCACACGGCACAAGGGTGTGAAAGCCGCGCCAAGGCTAAAGCCGCTTGACCAGCACCCGGCACTGCACCACAACGAGTGCGGAGGGGCGGGAGAGGGGAGAGGGGAAAAGAAGAGGGGAAAGGATACACAGCGGGGGGAGGGGCGTGGCGCAGCACGCGGACGCTCACGCCGCCACAGCCACCGCGGCCACACACACACGTGCCACACGCTCGCCGTCCGCGTCAGTTGCCCTGAAGAGTTTCGGATCATGGTTTCACATGTCAGTAGCGGAGCAGGGTCAGTCTCATCACGACGGCGGCAGCGCGGCAACGCGGCGGACAACACACACACACGCACACGGAAAACATCGAAGAGAACGGCACGCAGCACAGCACACACACTCGCACGCATCTTGGCCCAGAAAACGACCGGCCGCGAAGACTGAAAGTATATATACTCCGCGTGGTAGCTGGTGGGACGTCCGCGGAACAGCACCCACCGAAAGGAAGCACGCGTAGGGACACGCACGCACCGCACAAAGACAAAACACACACACGCTCGCTACCTCAGTCGCAGGACGCGCCGGCTGGAAACATTTGGCACGTCCCTTGTTGGTGGAACACTTGACTTCAATCCATGGTCGGGATGTGTTGTGTCATAAGACCGTCGTAAGTGGGTTTCTCATCAGTGGTAGAGCGCACACACACACACAAGCAGCAGCAGCAGCAGCAGCAGCGCCGTTCGCAGCGCGCAGCTCTTGGCCCACGTGAGTGTGCAGACAGGGCCACGAGGGGTGGGCCGAGACACAACTCCAATGTGGGCCGCGTACGGTACGGGGAAAGCGAAGCAGCGGCGGCGCGGACGCCAGCCAGCAGGCGAGGAGGAGGCGCAATCAGTGCAGGTCTGTGTTTGGGTGTCCTCAAGGGGGGTCTGATGGTCAAACAGTTATGCATCACGCGCGCAACGTCCTCGGCTCGCCTGCTCGCTCGCTCGGCGCGCCTCTCTCTCTCCCTCCCTCGGTCCTCCGCCCAGCGTCGGGCCACACGCACACGCAGACACACAAAGCACACGGCAGCGCCACACGCACCCTCAGCCCCGAAAGGTGATTAGTAAACTCAGTGATCATCAAGACATCCAGTCAGCAAAGGTTTGGACCATGAGAATCGCTGTGCATCACGCAGGCACGGCAGCGGCAACGGCGGCGGCGGCAGCGCGCACGTCAGAAGTCAAACAGATCAAGAAGCATTCTCAGCAGCAGGGCTCAGCTGAAACACGGATTCGACAGTTTCATCACCCGCACGCGCGCCGCACAAACAACTACACACGCACCCACACACACACACAGCAGCAGCAGCAGCAGCCGACACAGGCACCGGCAGCGCACGTCAGACGGGGAAAGAAGAATTCCAACACGATGTTATCGATCACCAGCAGGTCAGAGACTCCAGTCGGTTGATGTCATCATGTACGCTTGCACGGCACGCAGCGGCGGCACAGTCGCGATCTCGAGGCGCACCAAGATGGCACACGGCACAAGGGTGTGAAAGCCGCGCCAAGGCTAAAGCCGCTTGACCAGCACCCGGCACTGCACCACAACGAGTGCGGAGGGGCGGGAGAGGGGAGAGGGGAAAAGAAGAGGGGAAAGGATACACAGCGGGGGGAGGGGCGTGGCGCAGCACGCGGACGCTCACGCCGCCACAGCCACCGCGGCCACACACACACGTGCCACACGCTCGCCGTCCGCGTCAGTTGCCCTGAAGAGTTTCGGATCATGGTTTCACATGTCAGTAGCGGAGCAGGGTCAGTCTCATCACGACGGCGGCAGCGCGGCAACGCGGCGGACAACACACACACACGCACACGGAAAACATCGAAGAGAACGGCACGCAGCACAGCACACACACTCGCACGCATCTTGGCCCAGAAAACGACCGGCCGCGAAGACTGAAAGTATATATACTCCGCGTGGTAGCTGGTGGGACGTCCGCGGAACAGCACCCACCGAAAGGAAGCACGCGTAGGGACACGCACGCACCGCACAAAGACAAAACACACACACGCTCGCTACCTCAGTCGCAGGACGCGCCGGCTGGAAACATTTGGCACGTCCCTTGTTGGTGGAACACTTGACTTCAATCCATGGTCGGGATGTGTTGTGTCATAAGACCGTCGTAAGTGGGTTTCTCATCAGTGGTAGAGCGCACACACACACACAAGCAGCAGCAGCAGCAGCAGCAGCGCCGTTCGCAGCGCGCAGCTCTTGGCCCACGTGAGTGTGCAGACAGGGCCACGAGGGGTGGGCCGAGACACAACTCCAATGTGGGCCGCGTACGGTACGGGGAAAGCGAAGCAGCGGCGGCGCGGACGCCAGCCAGCAGGCGAGGAGGAGGCGCAATCAGTGCAGGTCTGTGTTTGGGTGTCCTCAAGGGGGGTCTGATGGTCAAACAGTTATGCATCACGCGCGCAACGTCCTCGGCTCGCCTGCTCGCTCGCTCGGCGCGCCTCTCTCTCTCCCTCCCTCGGTCCTCCGCCCAGCGTCGGGCCACACGCACACGCAGACACACAAAGCACACGGCAGCGCCACACGCACCCTCAGCCCCGAAAGGTGATTAGTAAACTCAGTGATCATCAAGACATCCAGTCAGCAAAGGTTTGGACCATGAGAATCGCTGTGCATCACGCAGGCACGGCAGCGGCAACGGCGGCGGCGGCAGCGCGCACGTCAGAAGTCAAACAGATCAAGAAGCATTCTCAGCAGCAGGGCTCAGCTGAAACACGGATTCGACAGTTTCATCACCCGCACGCGCGCCGCACAAACAACTACACACGCACCCACACACACACACAGCAGCAGCAGCAGCAGCCGACACAGGCACCGGCAGCGCACGTCAGACGGGGAAAGAAGAATTCCAACACGATGTTATCGATCACCAGCAGGTCAGAGACTCCAGTCGGTTGATGTCATCATGTACGCTTGCACGGCACGCAGCGGCGGCACAGTCGCGATCTCGAGGCGCACCAAGATGGCACACGGCACAAGGGTGTGAAAGCCGCGCCAAGGCTAAAGCCGCTTGACCAGCACCCGGCACTGCACCACAACGAGTGCGGAGGGGCGGGAGAGGGGAGAGGGGAAAAGAAGAGGGGAAAGGATACACAGCGGGGGGAGGGGCGTGGCGCAGCACGCGGACGCTCACGCCGCCACAGCCACCGCGGCCACACACACACGTGCCACACGCTCGCCGTCCGCGTCAGTTGCCCTGAAGAGTTTCGGATCATGGTTTCACATGTCAGTAGCGGAGCAGGGTCAGTCTCATCACGACGGCGGCAGCGCGGCAACGCGGCGGACAACACACACACACGCACACGGAAAACATCGAAGAGAACGGCACGCAGCACAGCACACACACTCGCACGCATCTTGGCCCAGAAAACGACCGGCCGCGAAGACTGAAAGTATATATACTCCGCGTGGTAGCTGGTGGGACGTCCGCGGAACAGCACCCACCGAAAGGAAGCACGCGTAGGGACACGCACGCACCGCACAAAGACAAAACACACACACGCTCGCTACCTCAGTCGCAGGACGCGCCGGCTGGAAACATTTGGCACGTCCCTTGTTGGTGGAACACTTGACTTCAATCCATGGTCGGGATGTGTTGTGTCATAAGACCGTCGTAAGTGGGTTTCTCATCAGTGGTAGAGCGCACACACACACACAAGCAGCAGCAGCAGCAGCAGCAGCGCCGTTCGCAGCGCGCAGCTCTTGGCCCACGTGAGTGTGCAGACAGGGCCACGAGGGGTGGGCCGAGACACAACTCCAATGTGGGCCGCGTACGGTACGGGGAAAGCGAAGCAGCGGCGGCGCGGACGCCAGCCAGCAGGCGAGGAGGAGGCGCAATCAGTGCAGGTCTGTGTTTGGGTGTCCTCAAGGGGGGTCTGATGGTCAAACAGTTATGCATCACGCGCGCAACGTCCTCGGCTCGCCTGCTCGCTCGCTCGGCGCGCCTCTCTCTCTCCCTCCCTCGGTCCTCCGCCCAGCGTCGGGCCACACGCACACGCAGACACACAAAGCACACGGCAGCGCCACACGCACCCTCAGCCCCGAAAGGTGATTAGTAAACTCAGTGATCATCAAGACATCCAGTCAGCAAAGGTTTGGACCATGAGAATCGCTGTGCATCACGCAGGCACGGCAGCGGCAACGGCGGCGGCGGCAGCGCGCACGTCAGAAGTCAAACAGATCAAGAAGCATTCTCAGCAGCAGGGCTCAGCTGAAACACGGATTCGACAGTTTCATCACCCGCACGCGCGCCGCACAAACAACTACACACGCACCCACACACACACACAGCAGCAGCAGCAGCAGCCGACACAGGCACCGGCAGCGCACGTCAGACGGGGAAAGAAGAATTCCAACACGATGTTATCGATCACCAGCAGGTCAGAGACTCCAGTCGGTTGATGTCATCATGTACGCTTGCACGGCACGCAGCGGCGGCACAGTCGCGATCTCGAGGCGCACCAAGATGGCACACGGCACAAGGGTGTGAAAGCCGCGCCAAGGCTAAAGCCGCTTGACCAGCACCCGGCACTGCACCACAACGAGTGCGGAGGGGCGGGAGAGGGGAGAGGGGAAAAGAAGAGGGGAAAGGATACACAGCGGGGGGAGGGGCGTGGCGCAGCACGCGGACGCTCACGCCGCCACAGCCACCGCGGCCACACACACACGTGCCACACGCTCGCCGTCCGCGTCAGTTGCCCTGAAGAGTTTCGGATCATGGTTTCACATGTCAGTAGCGGAGCAGGGTCAGTCTCATCACGACGGCGGCAGCGCGGCAACGCGGCGGACAACACACACACACGCACACGGAAAACATCGAAGAGAACGGCACGCAGCACAGCACACACACTCGCACGCATCTTGGCCCAGAAAACGACCGGCCGCGAAGACTGAAAGTATATATACTCCGCGTGGTAGCTGGTGGGACGTCCGCGGAACAGCACCCACCGAAAGGAAGCACGCGTAGGGACACGCACGCACCGCACAAAGACAAAACACACACACGCTCGCTACCTCAGTCGCAGGACGCGCCGGCTGGAAACATTTGGCACGTCCCTTGTTGGTGGAACACTTGACTTCAATCCATGGTCGGGATGTGTTGTGTCATAAGACCGTCGTAAGTGGGTTTCTCATCAGTGGTAGAGCGCACACACACACACAAGCAGCAGCAGCAGCAGCAGCAGCGCCGTTCGCAGCGCGCAGCTCTTGGCCCACGTGAGTGTGCAGACAGGGCCACGAGGGGTGGGCCGAGACACAACTCCAATGTGGGCCGCGTACGGTACGGGGAAAGCGAAGCAGCGGCGGCGCGGACGCCAGCCAGCAGGCGAGGAGGAGGCGCAATCAGTGCAGGTCTGTGTTTGGGTGTCCTCAAGGGGGGTCTGATGGTCAAACAGTTATGCATCACGCGCGCAACGTCCTCGGCTCGCCTGCTCGCTCGCTCGGCGCGCCTCTCTCTCTCCCTCCCTCGGTCCTCCGCCCAGCGTCGGGCCACACGCACACGCAGACACACAAAGCACACGGCAGCGCCACACGCACCCTCAGCCCCGAAAGGTGATTAGTAAACTCAGTGATCATCAAGACATCCAGTCAGCAAAGGTTTGGACCATGAGAATCGCTGTGCATCACGCAGGCACGGCAGCGGCAACGGCGGCGGCGGCAGCGCGCACGTCAGAAGTCAAACAGATCAAGAAGCATTCTCAGCAGCAGGGCTCAGCTGAAACACGGATTCGACAGTTTCATCACCCGCACGCGCGCCGCACAAACAACTACACACGCACCCACACACACACACAGCAGCAGCAGCAGCAGCCGACACAGGCACCGGCAGCGCACGTCAGACGGGGAAAGAAGAATTCCAACACGATGTTATCGATCACCAGCAGGTCAGAGACTCCAGTCGGTTGATGTCATCATGTACGCTTGCACGGCACGCAGCGGCGGCACAGTCGCGATCTCGAGGCGCACCAAGATGGCACACGGCACAAGGGTGTGAAAGCCGCGCCAAGGCTAAAGCCGCTTGACCAGCACCCGGCACTGCACCACAACGAGTGCGGAGGGGCGGGAGAGGGGAGAGGGGAAAAGAAGAGGGGAAAGGATACACAGCGGGGGGAGGGGCGTGGCGCAGCACGCGGACGCTCACGCCGCCACAGCCACCGCGGCCACACACACACGTGCCACACGCTCGCCGTCCGCGTCAGTTGCCCTGAAGAGTTTCGGATCATGGTTTCACATGTCAGTAGCGGAGCAGGGTCAGTCTCATCACGACGGCGGCAGCGCGGCAACGCGGCGGACAACACACACACACGCACACGGAAAACATCGAAGAGAACGGCACGCAGCACAGCACACACACTCGCACGCATCTTGGCCCAGAAAACGACCGGCCGCGAAGACTGAAAGTATATATACTCCGCGTGGTAGCTGGTGGGACGTCCGCGGAACAGCACCCACCGAAAGGAAGCACGCGTAGGGACACGCACGCACCGCACAAAGACAAAACACACACACGCTCGCTACCTCAGTCGCAGGACGCGCCGGCTGGAAACATTTGGCACGTCCCTTGTTGGTGGAACACTTGACTTCAATCCATGGTCGGGATGTGTTGTGTCATAAGACCGTCGTAAGTGGGTTTCTCATCAGTGGTAGAGCGCACACACACACACAAGCAGCAGCAGCAGCAGCAGCAGCGCCGTTCGCAGCGCGCAGCTCTTGGCCCACGTGAGTGTGCAGACAGGGCCACGAGGGGTGGGCCGAGACACAACTCCAATGTGGGCCGCGTACGGTACGGGGAAAGCGAAGCAGCGGCGGCGCGGACGCCAGCCAGCAGGCGAGGAGGAGGCGCAATCAGTGCAGGTCTGTGTTTGGGTGTCCTCAAGGGGGGTCTGATGGTCAAACAGTTATGCATCACGCGCGCAACGTCCTCGGCTCGCCTGCTCGCTCGCTCGGCGCGCCTCTCTCTCTCCCTCCCTCGGTCCTCCGCCCAGCGTCGGGCCACACGCACACGCAGACACACAAAGCACACGGCAGCGCCACACGCACCCTCAGCCCCGAAAGGTGATTAGTAAACTCAGTGATCATCAAGACATCCAGTCAGCAAAGGTTTGGACCATGAGAATCGCTGTGCATCACGCAGGCACGGCAGCGGCAACGGCGGCGGCGGCAGCGCGCACGTCAGAAGTCAAACAGATCAAGAAGCATTCTCAGCAGCAGGGCTCAGCTGAAACACGGATTCGACAGTTTCATCACCCGCACGCGCGCCGCACAAACAACTACACACGCACCCACACACACACACAGCAGCAGCAGCAGCAGCCGACACAGGCACCGGCAGCGCACGTCAGACGGGGAAAGAAGAATTCCAACACGATGTTATCGATCACCAGCAGGTCAGAGACTCCAGTCGGTTGATGTCATCATGTACGCTTGCACGGCACGCAGCGGCGGCACAGTCGCGATCTCGAGGCGCACCAAGATGGCACACGGCACAAGGGTGTGAAAGCCGCGCCAAGGCTAAAGCCGCTTGACCAGCACCCGGCACTGCACCACAACGAGTGCGGAGGGGCGGGAGAGGGGAGAGGGGAAAAGAAGAGGGGAAAGGATACACAGCGGGGGGAGGGGCGTGGCGCAGCACGCGGACGCTCACGCCGCCACAGCCACCGCGGCCACACACACACGTGCCACACGCTCGCCGTCCGCGTCAGTTGCCCTGAAGAGTTTCGGATCATGGTTTCACATGTCAGTAGCGGAGCAGGGTCAGTCTCATCACGACGGCGGCAGCGCGGCAACGCGGCGGACAACACACACACACGCACACGGAAAACATCGAAGAGAACGGCACGCAGCACAGCACACACACTCGCACGCATCTTGGCCCAGAAAACGACCGGCCGCGAAGACTGAAAGTATATATACTCCGCGTGGTAGCTGGTGGGACGTCCGCGGAACAGCACCCACCGAAAGGAAGCACGCGTAGGGACACGCACGCACCGCACAAAGACAAAACACACACACGCTCGCTACCTCAGTCGCAGGACGCGCCGGCTGGAAACATTTGGCACGTCCCTTGTTGGTGGAACACTTGACTTCAATCCATGGTCGGGATGTGTTGTGTCATAAGACCGTCGTAAGTGGGTTTCTCATCAGTGGTAGAGCGCACACACACACACAAGCAGCAGCAGCAGCAGCAGCAGCGCCGTTCGCAGCGCGCAGCTCTTGGCCCACGTGAGTGTGCAGACAGGGCCACGAGGGGTGGGCCGAGACACAACTCCAATGTGGGCCGCGTACGGTACGGGGAAAGCGAAGCAGCGGCGGCGCGGACGCCAGCCAGCAGGCGAGGAGGAGGCGCAATCAGTGCAGGTCTGTGTTTGGGTGTCCTCAAGGGGGGTCTGATGGTCAAACAGTTATGCATCACGCGCGCAACGTCCTCGGCTCGCCTGCTCGCTCGCTCGGCGCGCCTCTCTCTCTCCCTCCCTCGGTCCTCCGCCCAGCGTCGGGCCACACGCACACGCAGACACACAAAGCACACGGCAGCGCCACACGCACCCTCAGCCCCGAAAGGTGATTAGTAAACTCAGTGATCATCAAGACATCCAGTCAGCAAAGGTTTGGACCATGAGAATCGCTGTGCATCACGCAGGCACGGCAGCGGCAACGGCGGCGGCGGCAGCGC